CGAGGGCGCCGAGTCCATGTTGGCCTTCTTTTGGCAACTCCTGCGCGACACCGTTCAAGGTCAGCCGCACGAGCATACTCCCAATTGGGTGACAAAATTAAATACATGTGCCTCACCTCATCAGATCCTAATAGAAAATGTCAACAGTAATTGAAGATAATGCATAACAAGTCGGGTAGTTGAGGCAATTGAAAATGTTTATTAAATGAGACTTACCTGCGGGGATCCAGCTAGAAGATACCTCACCAGCAAAATTGGTTGATGATTTGTTTTTGAATGACAAATTAAATAGTATTGAAGCATAAGAACTTATCCTAACTTAGCATAAAACATAAAACACTGGTGTCACTGAAGAACAAGTTGCTGAGGTTGTTGAAATTAATGCTGAATCAGGTAGATGTCTAAGAAGACTGGATGTGATATGAAATTAGTAGGAAGTGTAGTGTAGAGACAATGACAAATAAAAGGTTGAATAACATTTCTGATTTATGTATTAATAAATTAGTAAATAATAGATAAATTTAATTAATGTATGGAAGTACCTACAGTAGAACGACGCTGCCTCGTTATACCCGGAAGACTCTATAACCATATCAGTTTACTCACATAAGTTTTTCTGGGGACCTGAATTTTTTTCGCAATAGCTGTATGGGCGCTATAAGCGGAGTCGTTATATCCTGATTCTACTCAATTTCACCATACTTCAAAACGAACTGCTTGAAATCTTTGGCAATTATCACTTATGAATGAAAGGACCTATATACAAACAATTAAATAAGAAATACTGGTCGAAGGACAAAAAGAACAGACTACATCAACTGCTGACAAATTTCTGACTATCTATCCTTCCATTTCCCTATCCTTCCTTTGCCTAACATATCATATCCAACATAAGAACATATATCAAAGTCCTAAGAACTTCTAGAAGTAGAAAGCAATATCCATGCAAAAGTTTGTAGTCAAGTTCAGTTTCCAGTTTATTATAGGATCTGTTGCGTAATTATAACAATAACAACATACACACATACATAGAAATACATACATGCATACATCTATATTTATAAATTTATGTACGTGCTTATGATATAATCCACATCTATATTCATATGTGCTCTACTCATGAGGAGCACAATGTGAAATACTCACATACGCGTATTTCGCAGCACGCTTGTTTTAACCCTAATCCGATTTTCTTCCAAAAACTTTGCTCCATTGCCATTCGCCCACCTACGCTGACAACAACAACAACAACAACAGCGAACATTGAGCATGTGGTGCTGGCCATGCCCCACCGCGGACGCACCTCCCTGCAGGCGGTGCTGCTGAACATGCGGCCGGCAAAAGTTTTTCGCAAACTCAGCGGCGCTTCGGAGTTTGCCGACGACATTGAGGCCATGTCGGACGTCATAAGTCACTTCCGTAAGTGAAACTTTTATTAGAAATGGATTGCTGGGCGCCGAGGGGGCGATGGCGAAGGGAGGGGTTGACGCGATGTATGCGTAATTTAATCAAACCCACATCTTACGCAGATGTTTCGGAGCAGCTGCAAGTGCTTGGCAGAAGCATCAACTTTAGCATGGTGCGAAATCCTTCGCATCTGGAGGTGAGTCCTACTGTTACACCGATTCGAGACGGCCTTAACTCCATTTGCCTCTCTTCCACAGGCCGCCAATCCCGTGGCCATGGGCAAGACGCGCTCCAAGCAGCAGAGCCGCAGGGAAGGCGCATTTAACACAGACTCGGAGAGCGCCGAGCCCTTTGGCCAGCGTGTTCTGAATGTGATCCTCCATGGAGACGCAGCCTTTGCCGGTCAGGGCATCAACCAGGAATGCCTCAACATGGCCTATGTGCCGCACTTTGAGGTGGGCGGCAGTCTGCATCTGATTGTCAACAATCAGGTGGGCTTTACCACGCCCGGTGAGCGCGGACGCTCCACCGAATACACCTCTGATCTGGCCAAGACCATTCAGGCGCCCGTCTTCCATGTCAATGGCGATGATCCAGAGGCTCTGATACGCATTACCAACCTCGCCTTCCGCTATCAGCGCGAGTTCCGCAAGGACGTCTTCATTGATCTGAACTGCTATCGTCGCTGGGGCCACAACGAGGTGGACGATCCGACATTCACCAATCCACTGGTCTATAAAATTGTCCACCAGCGTGAGTCCGTGCCAGACATGTATGCAGCAGAGCTGGCCAAGCAGGGCGTGCTCAGCGCCGACCAAGCTCAGCAAATGCGGGAGCAGTACATGTCCTACCTGAACGAGGAGCTGTCCTTGGCGCCCAGCTATCAGCCGCCCCCCAGCTACTTTGAGCAGCAGTGGGCGGGTCTGCAGCTGGCGCCCGCCAATGAGCTCACCTATTGGGATACGGGCCTGGATTACGGTCTACTGCACTGGATTGGCCAGCAGAGCGTTTCCTTCCCCGATGACTTTGTGAGTAGTAAAGGGAGCGTTTTAACATTTCAAAAAGACATTCAGATTTTATCGGAAATACCCCATTTCAGAATATACATCCACATCTGCTCAAAACGTTTGTCCAAGGCAGACTCAAGAAACTGGAGGCTGGCGCGAAAATAGACTGGGCCACAGCCGAGGCCCTGGCCATTGGCAGCCTGATGTACCAGGGTCACAATGTGCGCCTTAGTGGCGAGGATGTGGGGCGTGGCACCTTCTCGCATCGCCATGCCATGCTGGTGGATCAGCAGACCAATGAGATGTATGTGCCGCTCAACCACATGGAGGGCGGCAACGGAGGCAAACTGGAGCTGGCGCACAGCATATTGTCCGAGGAGGCGGTGCTGGGTTTCGAGTATGGCATGGCCATAGATAATCCGCAGAATCTGATTATTTGGGAGGCGCAGTTTGGTGACTTTGCCAATGGCGCCCAAATCATTATCGATGCTTTCATAGTCTCCGGCGAGAGTGAGTTCTGGATGGCCATAAGTTGGCTAATACTTGGTTAATCTCTTCTTCATAAACAGCCAAGTGGATGGAATCAAATGCTTTGGTCATGCTGCTGCCCCACGGCTACGATGGCGCTGCCTCCGAGCACAGCTCCTGCCGCATCGAACGTTTTCTGCAGCTCTGCGACTCCAAGGAAACAGCTCCAGATGGCGACAGCGTCAACATTCATGTAGTTAATCCCACGACACCGGCTCAGTACTATCACGTTCTGCGTCGCCAGCTGGCGAGAAATTTCCGTAAGCCGTTGGTCGTGGTGGCGCCCAAGACGTTGCTCCGTCTGCCAGCTGCGACCTCCACACACGAGGACTTCCAGCCGGGCACACTCTTCCAAAATGTCATAGGTGAGTGTGGAGGCGTTAGTCCGGAAATCCTTGAAAATGGGTGAGAAGGGAATAAGGCAAGTGCAGGATGGGTTAACCTCATAGAGTATATATGTATATCCTCGATTAGGATGAGCAGCAAACTCCATATTTATATGTCTAAATGTTTTTCTATACTTTATTACAAGGAGAGTATGATATATTAGGGTGCTGCCTGTAAATAAATACTGCTGAACTCTAAATGCCTCATCTTTCAAAGTAACTTTCTCTGAGTCACAGAGCACATTTACTGCCCTGGCTCGCATTAACCTATGTTCCTTCACAATTTTCTAGGTGACAGCACTGTGCAGCCGGAACAGGTGCGCAAGGTCATCATCTGCAGTGGCAGGCACTACTACAATCTGGTCGAGGAACGCGCCAAGCGTCAGATTCAGGACACGGCCATTGTGCGCCTAGAGTCCCTCTGCCCATTCCCAGTGCAGGAGCTGCAGGCCCAGCTGGCACAATATGGCAATGTGCAGAGTAAGTGCGAACATAAACTTTCAGGGAATAAGTTTGTGACTTGAAGGCCCCTCTCTCTATACCTGTCTCTCTCTCTCTCTCTCTCTCGCGTTCTTTGACCCAGGTTTCGTCTGGAGCCAGGAAGAGCATCGTAACATGGGCGCCTGGACATTTGTGCGGCCACGCTTTGAAAATTTAATTGGCAAGCAGGTAGGCACCCGCACACACATATACATTTACATACATATATACATATTTAAACACACACATATGTACATGCCCACAGCTCCAGTATTGCGGCCGCTGCGAGGCGCCCACGCCCGCCACAGGCATTGGCAAAGTGCATAAACGGGAAGTTGATGAAATTGTTGCAGCTCCATTTGAACTTTAGTGCGATGCCGCCGCTGCCGGACACGGCCTTCCCGCCCCCTCTTCTGTTGCCCCCGCGCCCATCGCCCGTCCATATATCACAAAGTACTTTAGCTCAATAAAACTGCCGAAATAAAGAACCGAAAAATAAACAGCAAACACAAATTGTTTTGCTCTACTTTGTAATTGATAGACTTGAAGATATCCTTGACTTGGTCATTCTATATGCGTATCTCGTATCTAGTATCTAGTATCTAGTATATAGTATCTAGTATCTAGTACCTAGTATCTAGTATCTAGTATCTAGTATCTAGTATCTAGTACCTAGTATCTAGTATCTAGTATCTAGTACCTAGTATCTAGTACCTAGTATCTAGTACCTAGTATCTAGCATCTAGTATCTAGTATCTAGTATCTAGTACCTAGTATCTAGTATATAGTATCTAGTATCCAGTACTAGTAACTCAGCATTTAGCTCTGATCTAGAATACTTATTCTTTATACTTGATAAATACATTTGCACAACATTATACCCTGATTTCGCACTATTAATAGTTTCAGGATTTACAAACTACAGAGTATTTCGATAAAAAGCACTGTCGCATGCCATAAAAGACGGTGGCAGAAAGTTCAATGTGGCATTACATAATAATTTATCGTTGGTGCAAAAAAACACGTTGAAACTTTAAGCGAAAGTTTTTAATTACTTGATGTTGGTTTTTGTTGTTTCGCATGGCGTTTGTGTACATCGTTCTGTTGTTGCTTTGGACTCATTACAAGGTCCAAGGCTTTAAGCAGATGACAGGAAAACCAAACCAAATAGAAAAGAGAAAAAATGAATCAGTTAACCTATCGTAAATATTTATTATGTTTATGAAACATTTTACAGACTTTCAATTGAAATTGTTTAAGCAGCGACGTGACTTAACTTAAGTAGTTCTAGATATAAATATGGTAGGATTATATAGAAAATAAATTAAGATAAGTGCTTAATAGAATAATTACTACAAACTGAAATGAGTAGAAGAGTGCAAATGGTGTTTATGGAGTATGGAGTGTCTGGAGTATGTGGTGGGTTACTACATATAAGGCGTTACCAAGGACTCTAAAGATCGGTAAAAAGGATTGAAAAGCAGAACAAACAAAAACAAGGTATTGAAACAAAGTCTCTCATCACGCTTAAATTCTAGATGTTGCAGTTGGCAAGAGCTTAAATGACTTGTCTGCCATAGACCTTCTCTAGAATATTGTAAAAGTCGGTGGACGTCTTATATGCAAAGTACAGAAGTCACATCCAGAACACAAATGCCAAGCAAACGGCAACTATAACCAAGGCAGTTTCTCGACAATTGGCATTATCCCAGCCGCACTCCAGATCGAACTTCAGAGCCTAGAAAAGAGAGAAATAAAGTACAATCATATCAATATATTAGGTATGAAATCGCATATCAGTCACGTAGCGCACCTCAAGTAGCTGCTGTCCGCCTTTATTATCACATCGCGTCTCGCGCAGATCGTCGTCGTGGTCGTCGCAATTGTGTCTACCGTACACCTGGCAAGGTGAATTCATAAAGGTGCGGAACACCGTATCGGTCCAGGTCTGCGAAGAGCAAATATATTGACGACGCTTGCGCTGCCAGAACTCCACCCAACTAAATGAATCATATATATCATAATTGTATATTCCAATAAAGTTGAGTTTTTCTCACTTACCCCAAATCGCAATCGCAGTTGAGATCCGTATGCGACATCTTGAGATCGGTAAGGAAAACGCTGTTTGGCAGATAAGGCACGGCGCCCGTATTCGGATTGGGTATTTTCTTCAAGTTGCGATTGTGATAGCGTATGTCCAGTGATATATTTCGAACGCGACCCATGTGCTTAAAGAAGTTCGGGGGCAGAGCTTGCAGCGAGGTATTAAAGAGCTGCATATAGAGGTAAGGCGAACGCATGCCCTGTTCAGCAAAGAAAACAATATGATGAAATATTTATTAATATGGTAAACCTGTCAAGTATTTGTATATAAATAGATTCTAGACCAACTGAAATATAATTTGCAATTGCCGCAAACTCACCCGCAATATGTGCTCATTGAGATTTGTGAATTGGGGTCCACTGAATGTAATGTTGGTCAGCTTGGAGGGCAGATGTCCCTCCATTTCGCGCTGCAGATCTGTGGGCATGCCCAGCTGCAGGGTTTGCATCTCCTGCGTTGGTCCTGAGCCCTTCTTAACGATGCGTGTAAAGGGCTGCGGGGCCTCAATCCAGAGCTCACGGATATTGTGATGATGGCGCAGCAGATGGGGTATATTGAAGTGTTCGAGGTGCGAGTAGGCGGTTAGCTTGAGCGAGCGCAGATGGGGCAGCGAGTCGAGGCAACCATACTCGAAGTAGTGCAAACGGAAATTGGATATATCCAGCATTTCCAGGTCCTCGTTCACGCCGTCGAAGCTGTTGTTGTTCAGCGAGGTAATGGGATTGCCAGACAGCATCAGACGACTGCAGCAAACAGATGCTCAATTCAGTACTGGGTTGCAGGAGAAACTCTTGCCACACTCACCGCAAATGAGGCAGGGATTGCGTCATCAGGGGCACGTTGGTCAAGTCATTGTTGGACAGATCCAGCATGCGTAGATTGGTCATATTACTAGCCAGCTCTTGCGGAATGGAGGGCAGCTCATTGTAGCCCAGTCGGAATTCGCGCAGATATTTCAGGCGTATTTCGGGCACTGTGCTTAGCGATACATTCTCCAGGCCGAGCTTAATCAACGATGTTTCCAGACCCATGAATGATTTGTCCATAACCTTAAGATCACGATTGTGTGAGAGATCCAGAACAGCTAGCTTGGGCATCGTGGCAAATACCGCGTCGTCTATGCGCAGCAAATAGTTGTAGGAGATGTCCAAGTAACGTAGAGACTAAGAGATAAAGATATCGGATGTAGAGATGGGAGAGCTTGGCGAATATTTGATCCTCACTCACCCTAAACTTATTGGACAAATCCATGCTGTGTATGGTAGAGATAAAATTATTGGACAAATGCAGCTCGCATAGAGTCAAAGCAGCCAAGCTGGACAACGAGGAGGATGGTATCTTCAGTAGCATATTGTGCGAGACATCCAATCTGGAAATAGAGTATAGAGTATTAGAAAAGTTACTTAGCGACTTTCTCAGTCATTTACTTTTCCATGCCGCCGTTGTAGAACAAATTGTCTGGCAAGCCACGCAGCTTGTTGTGGGAAAAGTCCACAATGCGCAGGCTATGAACGGGCTTGAATATATCCTGGGGTATGTCAGTCAAGTAGTTGTGATCAAAGTAGACGAGCTGCAGCTGTTTGGTATTCTTAAAGGCATCAAAATCCAATTCGTGTATCCAATTGTAGCTCAGATCCAGCCATTGCAGATGCGGCATGTTACCAAAGACGTCGCGGGTGGTGTTCTAAAAGGAAAAATTCTTAAGGATTTATTATAAATATTAAAAGAGAGAGAAATACCCACCATGAGCGAGTTGTAGCCCAAATGCAGATGGGTCAGCGAGATCTCGGCGGGTCGGAAGTAGCCAGGAAATATGATGGAGATGTTGTTGTGCGACAAATCCAATATCTTGATATTCGAGTGATACATGCCACCTATACAAGAAAGCATTTTAGTATACCAATCATACCACGAATCTCACTGATCTCCCTTACCATGCTCATTGCGGCCACTCCAGGAGGAGTTGTACATCAGCTGCTTGATTTGATTGTGGCTGACGTTCACATTCAGATTCGACAAGGTGCCCACTTGGTCGAAGTAGTCAAAGTTAAAGTTGGGCAGCTGGTTGAACGCCATGTCCAGTATCTCCAGCTTGGGCAGATTTTGGAAGGACTCATCGGCCAAATTGCTCAGCTTGTTGCCGCGCAGACTCAGATACTCCAGCTCGTCCAGGTTCATAAACGCGCGTCGCTCCACCTTGTCAATCTTATTGTCATCCAGATGCAGCTTACGCAGCGCCTCCAGGTCGAAGAACGTGTGCTGCGAGATGGATGTGAGATGATTGAAACGCAGCGAGATCTCCTCCAGCTTGGAGTGTATGTCGCCCTGGAAGGTGCCCTTGAGCACCTGCTCAATGCGATTGTCGTGCAGCTCCAGCAAACGCAAGTTCTTCAGAAAATGGAAGCTCGTGTCGCTCATGGTGCTAATGTGATTGTTGCTAAAGTCCAGCTCCTGCAGGGAGGTCAAATGGCGCAGAGGCTCGGCGGGCAGGGCACTGCCGGAGTAGCCATGAGCCATCTTTAGCGAAATGAGAGAGTGTCCAATCTGCCAGGAGAAAACACCATTCAGTAAATCGTTGCAGTCACTTCACTAATTGCTCCCACCTCATGGAAAGCATCGTTCTCAATGCTGGAGATTCCATTCTCACTGAAGTCCAATCGCTTCAGACCACGGACGTGCTTGAAGGCATGCGACTGAATGCCCGAGAGGCTGGCCCGTGTTATCTGCAAGTCCTCGAGCTCGACGCCAAAGTCCTTGAAGTCCTCCGGACCCACAGAGGTAGTGCCCATGCGCGAAATGGACAGCGAGCGCATGTTCCGCATTCTGGTCATACTTTTTGAAAATAAATACAAGAACGATTTGCTCGGGTAAAGGGTGTGTGGGGAGCAGGAACTCGATTGTGCTGGGGGCCACTTACTTGCGTAGCGTTTGCAAATTGGTTGGATCATTGCGATCTCCACTCAGGTCCAGCTTGAGCAGCGTATAGTGCATGGCATTAAACGTTTCGGTGGGCTTCGGGATTTTGATCTTATTGTCGCGCATGCTAATGACCCTGTAATGAGCACAGAACGGGTGGATTGGTTTCGTCAATTATAGCCGCTTATTGTTACATCGTTTCTCGTCACGTTCTTCGAAAGCGGGTCACACACTTAGCCCACATTGGCGAAGCCCCACATTGTAGGGTACCGGACAATCGGATTAGGGGCTGGTTTTTCCTCCTTCTCCTTCTCCTTCTTCTTCTTCTTGTTTCTTCCAACCAACTCACCTCAAGACATCGAAATTGTTGAAGAGCTTGTGATGCAGCTTGGTTAAATTGTTGCCAGACAGATCTAAAATCTGTAAACTGTTCACCAGACTATCGAAAGCCATGGGTGAGATATTGGTCAGACCACAATAGCGCATGTAAATCTCACGTATCCGAGCTGGCTTGAAGGCATCGTCCTATCAAAAAAAGTAGAATATTTATATACCTTATCCACTGCCTGGCAGCACCCACCTTAAGCGTATGTATGGGATTGCCATCGAAGAAGGTTCTATTGACTGTATCGAAATACTTGAACGAGTTCGGCGGCAGCACTTCTATGTGATTATACTCCAGGTGCAGATTGTCCAGGTTCAGTTTGGTGCTAGCCTTTATGTCGTAGGTCTCATTTCCGCTCAGTGACCAAATCACATTGTGTGATATATCCAAGGTACGCAGGCTCTTCAGCGGGCCCAGAGCATCATAGGGTATCTCCGACAGTATATTGTCCGTAAGCAGTAAACGCGTCAGTCGAGGCATGCCATCCACAAAGACATTCGGATCAATCTCAAATAGATTATTGCCGCTCAAATCCAAGGTCTCCAGATTGAGAAGACCCGAAAAACTGTGCGACATGAGCATGGAAATGCAATTCTCGCCCAGAATCAAAGTTTGCAGCGATTCCTCCAACCCACGAAACGAATCGTGGTGAATGGTCGTTATATGATTTTGCGATAGATCCAGAACTCTCAGCTTTTGCAGGTGGCGCAACGACTTTGAGGGTATCTCAACTAGATCGTTTTGTGGCAATATGAGCTCCCACAGGGATCGCTCCAAGCCGGTAAAGGCATCATCTGGTATTTCAGTCAAATGATTGCCCGATATCTTAAGTCGATACATGCCCGTCGACTGTAGAAAGTAGGGCTCGATCTCGCGCAGGCCCGTGTTTTCCATGTGCAGCATGAAAACCTATTTCAGAGTTTAACTTAACTGCAGTATAACGATTGAGCTGCACCTACCTTGGACTGGTTAACCATGCGCGGCAGTGCAGGGAATGGCACATTCTTGCAATGCACAATGCCCAGATCTGTCGAGGATTTGGAGCATGTGCACATCACATTGTATGTGCACGGCGGGTAGCGAGTCTCCTCCATCTCGCGACTGAACAACGAGGCACGCGCTAAGGACATCCATATCATGATAATGAGCGTTATGGTTAGAAACGCATAGCCGAACTTAAAGAAGAACTCCAGACCCTGAGAAAGAGATGAAACGGATGGATAACCAGTTGAAGCCTTAGGGATTCACGGCGGCAAAGCCAGATTGTAAATATTTAAGGAAGTGTTAAGCCTGTTGGCTTTGAGAGGCTTCGCGTGGTTTTTGGCTCTTTTTCTTTAGTTTTTAGTTTTCTTTGTTTCGTGGTCAAGTGAATAATTCAACCCTTGAGCAACAAAGAAAGAGTTTTTACGGTTCGTACGTAAGGTATTAAATGTCCTCTATCCTTCTTATGCATTCCACATTTAGTATTCAGTACACTGCCAGAGGATTTTGCATTTTCTAAGTCTTTCATAAGTATTTCTCATAGAGTTATATTTCTATATAGCGGCATAATGAAAACGACTATAAGACTGATAATTGGACTCATCATTTCTGAAAGAATGTAGTTTTCTATTAAATTGGTCCAAAATTGAAAAGTATGCACTTATTATTCAACAGAAATTGAATCGTAGAAAAATCGAACACCTATTATTTACAAAGCTTTCAGGTTTTAGTATTTATTCTTAGGTTTTTAAAATAATTTTAATTCCACTAATGTAGACGCATCCTCATCTATATCATGCTTTAGATAGTTTCAGTCAGTTGTAAAAAATTCATAAAAGAATTGTCTTCATTTTAAGATAATAAGAATAGGTGTATGAAAATTAAATCTCTTCACCACGATACAAGAAACCTGTTTGTTTTTTAAAACAACTCTTAAATCTACATAAATTTCTCAAGAAGTATATCAAGTCCTTTGTAGTCATCAATTAATAGTTTTTATATTGCCACTAAATATGGTATTTGGAGATAAGTTATTTTTTTTGTATCAACATAAGTAATATTTCTTCAGCAATCTCGAGATAGTTTTCTCCTTTGCCTCCATATATGCACTGTCTTGTATAATACACACCATTTTGTTAATTGGATTATCCGTGCGCGATAATTGGCATTTAGAATATATTTAAATTAAATAAGAGAACAAGGCTTTCTGTTGCTTATTTTTGCATGTATTTATTTATAACTATGCGTGGCACAGGATGTGCGTCACTTTGTTGAAGCCTTGTGAACTTGCAGCCGAGTGTGTGCGCCAACAAATAATCCTTTTCTTTTTTTTTTTTTTCTTGTATTAAATATATTTGTATAATTGCCGTTTTAAAGCGCGACACGTCCGAACCGCAGCGCGTTCCACGCACGTCTGAGACTTGAAAATCAATCGGGTTAAGCATTTGTCGACGACAGACTGAAGCATTGCACTAATTGGATTGTAACATTTTTGGGGGCTGTTTGCCGTGGCGCCAGCTGCACATGAGCTGGCCATTGGGCACACGTTTGGGCCGAATTATAGCATTACTTAACGCTTGGTTGCAAATATGCTCATTTCCTCGCCGTGTTTGCACTTTGTTTAGAATATGCCAAGCAAAACGCACACTAATTGTGTTTACTATCAGCATTTGAAATAAATAGATTTCGAGCCTTGAGCGATCCAAGACAATTGCATGGATTAAAACTTGTAAGTATTCAGACGACATGATTTCGGTCTGCGGCTCTTGCAGTGCGATAAGCAGGTTGTAAGGTTAAGCGACAAATATTTATGATTACACAGTAAATGATAAAAAAAAATAGACAAAACAAAACATAAATATATCTATTTTAGCGTGCGAATTTTCCGGTAGAGCCAACAATGATAGGTACGCTCCTTGACCATCTCCTTATCTGCAATAAAAAGGATACGAAATTCATATGTAAATATCTCATATTTATAGAAGAAATGGAAAAGTTCGCGCTTCAACTAACCGTCGCACTGGAAGCATTTCGCCAGCTCAGGCGGACAAATGTTTTCTAAATTGAAATAAAAGGTGGTCGTGTTCTCCCTATATTTGTTCTGTGACTTCATTGTTATTTGGCGTGTGTGTGGATCCTTGCCATCCAAGTGTTCGCGCACATAATGCGCAGATAGTTGAATGTCGGCCACATCGCTTAAATTATCATCAATGCTCTCCACCAGACGCGGCTGCTTGTTCAACAGCTGTGTGCAGACATCCGCGTAAACTGCATAAATAAATATAGTATATAGGAATATTGATATTAAGTTGGATTGGTTAGCAAGTGCACTAACCATTGGGTAAATTCAAGTTGGCATGTATCATCAGCAGATGCTCCAACGTGCAGTGTATTTGAAACAGCTTAGATATTTGCAGCATGCTCTCCTTCTCATTAAAGTTACTATTCTTAAAGCCAGATAAATCGTCATTCTGATAATTGGCGCCGGTTTGCTTACTGCCAGCGGTGTTGTGCAGCAGCGTCTTGCGTATGCCAACACCACCACCACCCGGCGCATCACCTTTCATGGCGTTATGCAGCGATTTTCGCAACTTGGACAGATCATTCGTTGAGGAGCCATCGTTTATGTCGGAATTCGCCGATTCACTGCTGCCTTTTAACAAACTAATACTGCACATTTTGCTCTCCGTAAATATAAACTCGTAATCCTTGTGGACCTTCTCTAAGCCAATTTCCAGCAACAATTCCAACGGCTCTGTACCGCTCAGGCAGGGCATGGCCAAGCGACTGTTGGCCAAATTCGCAATGATTTCAGCCAAACGATTTTTATTTGTTGGCGTGTTCTGAAAATATGAATAGAATTAGTTTGATGGGAAGAACTCTGTAATCACTTTAGGTACCACAATATTGCAGCGCACAGCGCATTGAAAGAGGATGTTGAAGGCTAGTTTCAAATCCTTGTAGCAAGAGCAAGCTGTTGAAAGGCAAAATGATTAACATAAATAATAACTCAAAATGCTTGAGACACTTACATTTGAGCAACTCCCACAGTTTGTCGGTGAGATCCATGAGTCTGCGCTGCTTGGCGCGCTGCACCACTTCCTCAATGTCATACTCCGCAAGGCCATCCGTAAAGACGTCCGTAAAGCCGGAGACCTCTGTCATTGTTTTGTTAATGGATTCACGCAGTTCGTCCATATCAATGCCGCTGCCACAACGATAGACCGGTTCCCGCTGCAAACCCGCCCGCTCATCGCTGTGATAGCTAACGATGTCCTCGCGTATGTACGCTAAGATGCGCAACTGGTTCATAAAGTCCTCCGTCAGAAGACCGCAATCGGCCACGCGAAATGCCTGATTCAATAACACATTGCAGCCGCTCAGATTGATGAGCAACGGCATCGGCGCTGGCGTCGACCAACTGCATAGTATTGTCATGTGCGGATTAATCTGATAGCTGTTCTCAATGTATGTCTCCAGTTGTGCGCCTGCGCTCAGGCCGTGCTGTCGCACTAGAGACTGGGATGACACCATATAGGCGGGCATTACGCCCAAATAGTTGACTATGCCGCGAGAGAAATGCGTTGGATGGAATTCGTATTGAAGCAGCAGCGTGTGACCAAAGTCGCTGCCATCGCAGAGAAACCAAACGGAGCCCTGACCATCGGCCTGTTGAAATGATTCTGTACAGATGATCGCACGCGCTTTATCGGCCGGCACGCCTCGATGATATTCTTCATCTGGTTTCCAAGGGTTCCGGTTGACTATATTCAAATCCAACGAGAGATCGGCAATAGCATCCACAATACAATCGTCTTTCAGGGGACTGCCAGTTAGATCTAAATCTGCATTGGGTGACCGACGCTCCGGTTTGAGTAACAGCTTGGTGGGCGTGGTTGTTGTAATGCCGCCACTGCGATCCTCTTTGTACAGAAAAACAATTTTATTTGCTGATTCGCGCGCACCAACCAATCTAGTTAAATAACTGGGCGGCACATTATATGTGATAGTATGATTATCACCATATTTACGCATCAGCTCAGCGTAAATATTTGCCAGATTAACATGCATTATTTATAAATTTTAAAAAATTCACTTTATACTTGATATATGCCGCCTTAACTGATATAAAATGGCATCTAATCTTAACATTTTGCAGAGCTGTTAATAACAGTGAGTCTGAAAAATTGAATGGAAAACTGCCGTTACTCAGTTACGACATTGTGTTTCATAACGTGAAGTTGAAAAATATACATAAAATCCAAATGATTATATTCATGTTCAAAATAAAAGCATAATTTTAAAAAGTGTTACTCTTGAGTCTAGCAGTTATTTTGGCTGAAATTGGCGGACAACAAACTTATTTAGTCCATTTCGTGGGGCAAGTTTGATTTAGGGTTGCTTTGAAAGTGATTATCGATGTTGCCATGAACTACAAGACAAAAGCTAATTGCTACATTCAAATATATGCGCGCGGCAGATATTGTTATCGATAACCATTTGCGGTTCGCACGTGTTGGCTTTGTTTTTATTTAGTCCACTTTTAATAACACATAATATAATTTTAAAGCATGACGGACTTGGAATTTCAAGACAGTGGCTCAGAATTCGATTCAGAGGACAATTCCGATGCTGAGGTATGTAAATAACACTATTAAGAAAGTATGCAAATATTTATGATTTTCAATCTCAACAGCTGCAAGCGGCTTTCGAGCGTGGAGATCTAAAACCTGGTCTTAATGTTGAGTTCAGCGGACAACGAAATAAAATAAATGATATAGTAAGTTAAACTAGTAAAACTTGAGCTATTGTACTAAAATTTACAACTACTTACAGACCAAGCTGTTGGCCAAAGCACATGCCATACGCCTGGATTTACCATGGGTGGAGCGCCTGGATATGATCAACAATTTGGCTCCTCTGGCACCCGAGTTGGCTGTACAGCTCGAAAAACACGAACAGAAACGTGCGAATCAGTTTAAGGGAAATGCGAAAATACCTTATGTTCGACCCGAAGAGGATCCCGTCCTAAATGACTTTAAGCGCGAAATGTTGTTCCATCGCCAAGCACAAAGTGCGGTGCTTGAGGGCATAAAACGACTGCATGAACTCGGTATTAAGACTCGTCGTCCCGATGACTATTTTGCCGAAATGGCCAAGTCGGACGAACACATGCAAAAGGTGCGTGCCAATCTAATGGCCAAACAGCAAGGACAAGCCAAATCCGAGCGGATAAAACAAATACGCGAGCAACGAAAAATGGGCAAAATGCTAGCCAAGCAGACCAAGGTGCAGCGCGAAGCTGAGAAGAAGGAGATGCTCGATAAGCTGAAGAAATTCCGCAAGGGCAAGCTTAAAAATCTGGACTTCCTTGAAGATGCTAAGGCCTTGGAGTCCAAGCAGAAGCAATCGGCAGACAAACGCAAGCTGCGCAACAAAAAGTTCGGATTCGGTGGAAAGAAAAAGGGTCTCAAACGCAACACCAAGTCCTCGGCAGCTGGTCTTGACTCGGAGAAGTCCACACGTCGTCAACGCGGCGTCAAGGCCGGTGCCTCGGTCAACAAACGGTTGGGCAAATCCAGGCGCATGAAAGCTAAGGGCAGAAAGTGAATTAGGATTAAGGAACAACAAAACTAGATTTATAAATGCCTTCGTTTAGATTTATTATAACTAAATACATTTCATATGTACATAAAAGTGTATGCTATATATCAATTAAATATATATATATTTCAACTATTCTGCTTGCTTGTGCTTTTTTTTCTTTTTCTTTGATTTGACAGGCGGCGCAGGCTCGTTTTCTATGCACTCAATAACGGGCTTCCGCTTTTTAGACTTCTTTGTTGGCTCTTGCTCTAGCTCGATCACATTATTCTCAGGCTGCTCTTCATCAGCACCTTTACTTTTATCCTTCTTTTTCTTCTTTTTAATTTTATTTGACTTCTCAGCTTCCTCAGTAGGTGTCTGCAGTTGTTTTCCCTGCAGCTTAGCCAACATTTCGCGCTCCTGCTGTTCTATGCGTGCCAGCTTGCCGCTCAATTTGAGTCCATGGCGTGCGCCCTTGTGAGCTGTCCGACCGCCACATGCCTGGAATAGTTGCTCATCGGTCAACACTTGCACTTTGGCAACAGCAATGTCCTCCACCTTGATGCGTTCCTCGTTATCCACTTCGCCACCCTCTTGTGTAAGCAGCGCAGATTTTAGAAAGTTACCATAAACGGCACCACTGTAAGAATCTTTTTGCTGTTCCTTGGCCTTTTTCAATTTACGCGCCGAATAACCTTTGGTTGAAATTTCCACAGCCTCTTGGCCTGCTTTGCGCGCTGTGCTCACCTGACCATTCTGCTCCACTTGAACGGCCACATTTGATGAAGCCTCGTTGAAGCAGCGCTCCCACCAGTGATCATTGAATTCTGTGGCGCGATCGACGCCCAAGCCAGCATTGTCAAATTTTAGACTCGCTTTCAATGGAGCCGCTATGCCATTATTGTTTTTACCTAAGCCATCGCCTTCTTTCCAGCCGTATTTACCCAAAATCTTCTTCCCAAAATCCATTAGCAACAATGTGGTTTTTATTATTGAAAAGTTATCGGTTACATATTTCCAAAATAATCGATAGTCCGCAACAGTGTGTTCATGCCACAATGCAGGGCTGCATTTTAAGCGGCAATATTTAAACATACAAACCGACTCCAAACATATGAGCCTTTGATAGCTAAAATTTGCCGTACAAAACTCAATATTTATAGAATCTCAAAACTACAAATTATCTTTCCTTAACACATTCAGTTTTCCTTTATTTTATATTCCTTCAAATACCAATACTTCACGTTACTCTAGCCAATAAAACAAACCCCACTTTATTCGATTATGTGACAATGATTAAGTGGCATCTAAGAAATGATTTAACAAAGAGAAAAAATGTTTTAAATACAATAAACTTAAAGAAACGTTATCAGTACGCGCCACATAATTCAAAAAGTGTAGAAGACGACACAAAAGCATACCCGCCACGCCCTCGCCAACAGCCAGGGTGTCAATTGGCTAGGAGAGTTGGTTGCACGTGCTGCCCCTGCCGCCTCGACAGTCTGATGTTGTTGTTGTCAAGGCCATTGGAGGGAGAGAGAGCCGAGGAACACGGACAACCAGCTCGCAGATGGAGAGGGCGCAGCAAGTCGATTTCTGTGTAGTCGCCTGCGTGTGGGGTCTGCTGCTGCGGTGTGAATTTGAAGCTTGCATGGATTAAAATTTAATTTTAATGTTTACAATTTCAATCTCAACTTTTCGTTTAAATCGTGTGTCTTCGTTATGTTTATCTCGATGCACTTTTGCCGAGTTTATTCCAATGCATTTTTTTTATTAGCAGTTTGTATTTTTTCTTCCTATTTTGGCTTAAACTTAAATCGAAAATGTGTTGAATCTGCACGATGATCTTGTTCTGCGATTGATTTAGGCGATTACTACAGTTTCAAATGTTTTTTAAAAACAAAATTACATATATTATGTTGTTGTTGTTGTTATTTTATAATTAGATAGTACAGGATGTTTTTGCCTATCAATCATTTATCAATAATAATCGAAAAACGTTGCTGGTGTTGGTTGCTTATTTGTTGAAGTTGTTGATTCTTCTTAACTTTGCTTTCTCGTTGCCCCTGACTGTCGATAGCATGCAGATGGCCATCGGGATAGATAAATACCCCAAATGCCCACATCAACATACACACCGACAAACAATTGCACGGAAAATTGAAGGACGAGTAGCGGCGCTTAGAAGGCGAACAGCAACAGGAAGGCCATCATAAGACAGAACAGACCCATAGCCTCAGACAGGGCGAAACCCAAAATGGCGTACGAGAACAGCTGCTGTTTCAACGATGGGTTTCTGGCATAACCAATGATGAGGGAACCGAATACTGTTCCGATACCAGCACCTGTTGTATTGGTAGAATAGCGAGCGATTTATACAGAAAAAAGGAAAAATACAGAATAGATTAATCAAATTGTACTGATATTAAGGAGAATAATTTATATGCAAATCACATCGGCAGCTGCCGATGGAAGCTCGCTTCTTCAGGGAGCAGCTATATACCATATGCAATCGCAATGCTCTACCAATTAGCCCATACTCATTTTCTTTAGGGTGACCAGTCAGTCACAGATTAGTCTGAATTGAGTTCTACGCACCTCAGAGTTGAGGTTTGCAGCAAGCACATCGCACTAAAATTGCTGGCCACGAAAGCTTTCAATGCAACACGGCCGGCGGCAGGTTATGCGGCAACAGCCATGCTGCAGCATTTCTGGTACTTTCGCCTTGTGATTACACAAGTTTCCTGCTAGGAAATGAAGCTCCACGACACACAATCACCTTTCAGCTTTTGAGCGTTGTTACGGCAACAAGGGAGCTTTGACCAAATCTCAGACCTTCCCGGGGCAATCTTAGGAGTAATCAGATACTCGTTGTGTGTGCCCCAGATGCTAGATTGTAACTGACTGAAGACGAGTATGTGACCGTTGGATAGGAGAATTCGACATAGGATATACAGTAATAAAGATCGGACAAATCGCAAGCTCAACGAAAACCAATACGAACCGGAACCAGCGACACCGACTGTTGCAGCACCAGCACCAATGAATTTGGCAGCCGAATCAATGTCACGTGTGACTGGCGAGGTCTGGAATGACCTGATCTGTGGCAGTAATGCTACGGGGGTTGTGTTCTGAGCGGCCAAAGTTTGGCTCTGGCTGATGACGGCGCTGCTCAATGGTCGCAAGTATTGCTTGGAGTTGGCGAGGAGCTGCAATAAAAAAATAGGGAAAGGTTAAATTATGTAATTAAATTAGATGACACTTTAGTTTCTTCCTTCATGTGAGATAAAAAGAAAATTGTTATTGTTGTGGTTGTTGTAGGCTTTGCGCGTTGACTTTTTGCATCCGATTGCCAAGTTATGCAATGTGTTAAGCAATTTGGATTTTGGCCATTTGGCAGCCGTATTTGTTGTTGTCATTGAAGGAAACGGCAAATAAAATTAATAATTACCGCTGATTAATGTTGTCAATTAATTTTTTTAATTCTAGTATTGATCTATATAGCTTCAACGGAATTGATATGAGAGCTTTCACCGGTTCTAACCTCAACCACTATCAGCAACAAAGTAACTATAATTTGTTATACAATGCTTACACCACATTTTAATCGCTTAATTTAATTCCAGATCAAATCGAATTTTAAAAAATGCTGTCGCATATGCTTTTAAATTGCTTTACATTTTTATAGATTAAAAAGTTACAGCTATGAAGAACACATAACCTCAATTTTCGCTTTCAACTTATGTAACTGTATGTGTTTTCCATTGGAATTCCAAGTCACCACAGTCGCAGCATAGATATTTTTTGTTAACACAATGAAAATCGATGCGGCTAAGAATTATGTAATTAACAACAACAAAATCACATAACTATTTATCTCGCAGAATCTGTTAACACGTTTTCTACTTACCGCGGTCCTGGCAACGGGGGCAATGCGAGAGACTGTCGACACGAACATTTTTAGTTGAATTTTAATTGGCGTTTCGCACAAAATTGAAGCAAGCGCACGGAGCTCTGCAAAAGATATAGATGTAGATTTTTTGTAAATATATATTTCTATTTATATATATATGTAAATATATAATTATTGCAAATCGATGCTGCAAACGCCGCTGCCCGCCTGCAAGTTGCTGTTGGTTACGTAATCCGAAAAAATGTATCTATCCACACAAATTAGAATTCTCAATTAAATCGCAAACACAAATCAATCGAAATTTTAAAATTCGAGCTAGTTTCACTTAATTTGCTTCAACTAACACTTTTTTTTCAAATCGTTGATCTTTTCTTGTGACGCAACGACTTCACACAGTACACTGACAGTTCTCTTCATACGCCCGTGTGACATTCTGTATGAGTGTGTGCGTGAGCCGCAAGATGGCGGCATTGAACACGTTTGAAAAAATATCATATTCACTTGTTTTGTCATTCTTCACTCAATTTCACTAAATATTATTGAAAACAATTGTATTTGAAAGAATTATTTTCTTGCATTTCCATTTTAAACTGATTATTCAACCAGCAGCAGCTGCAGGAGGCATGGTGGGGGTGCTCCACATTTTTAATTTCAGCGAAAGATATGCGTCCAACTCACTTCGAACAAACCCTTAACAACAGTGGAACCGTATTAAACGCGAATTTTTACTTTACCCTACAGTCGTCGTGCAATTCTTTGCTGTGGTGAATTGGAAGTTCACCTGGAAAGTCAGCGAGCGCATGAGTGCATATCGATAACAATATGTATGTTTTACAAAATAGCGGCTCTACCACAAATAACCCAAGCAAGTTACTTATGCATACATCATGTTTATTTAAAAATTATTTCTGCATAATTAATTAAGTATTATATGTTGACAAAAAAAAATTGTTTTCCGAGCACACAAGTATGATCTTGAAGTTCTAAATTTAATTTCTAGGTATTCGCAATTCTATAATTATAGATAGTATTTACCTCTATTAAGGGAAATTAATTATGTTATCAATTAACTACATGAATTGCAATCCTGGTCTGTGGTGAATTGGAAAGAATCTTGGAAGTTGATGCCGGTTTTACTTATCAGCCCTGAAATCGCGAGTTTCGTCAACAAATTATTGGATTTTTAAAATTTGGTTTGACAATACGATTTTAGAAATGTTCACTTGCACTTATCATGACAAATCTTAATTTGAACACAATCCTGCAAAAAGAGTTGCATCCAATCTAAGCAAATGAAGCACTTTGGTTAAAAAAAATTTTGGCGCGCTAATTTCAAATAATAAAAATCAATAATAATCAATTATTATGGATTTTTATACTAAATTAAATAAGTGCCCAATTCGACTGGATGCTTCGCTGAGATTATTAGACATAAGACGGCTTATAAGGTAATAACAAAAATATTTACCTCTCGTTAACCTTATCGAATATACATCGAATAGCTATCCAGCCCTGGTCCGCATACAGCCACGCGTCGTGGTGTCGTCACGTCGTCTGGTTTATGTTGTAATTTGAACAATTTAAAGCCCACCACAATTGAAACAGGATGCTGTAAGTAGTGAAATCATTTTGAATGTATATCTAAAAACGCAAAGCGTAGATTCTGTGCACAGGTAATCATAATTTAATTTTATGTGTCATTGCAGCCCTCAATTGCATAACAGCATTTTTGCATAAGTGTGTGTGTGTGTGTGCGTACGGCCAGGGAGGAAACACACAAATACATACTAATCGACGCAACGTTTGTCATTTCATCTGGCTTGCTCATTAATAATAACTACTATAATCAAATTCGATATACGTTGCATATTGCATTTTCGCTGGACCTAATTGATTAATTGTATAAATTGGCTGGAACGACGCCGTACAATTGTTTTGGTTGCCACCTATCGTATACATCGATAACCAAGCATATGCGATAGTTAGGCATCATCCACAGTATTCGTTTGAACACGGTTAACAGAAAACTGTGCACACCATTAGTAACAGCTTAGCAACTGTTAAGTTCTTGGATGCCAGAAATTTAACATTAAACAAACAGTGACACTTACATAACGCGCAGTCACAGTCGTACGTCGAGTGATATGGCCGTGTTTCTGATCAACATCTGCAAATTCAATGGCTGTTTTAAAACTTTTCCAAGTCTGAACGACTTAATATCACACATCGAGGGCACACATATAGGCAAGTATTTAAAATAACAACAATTAGTGCGATAAACAAGTGCGAAAGTGTTTAAAATAACAATGACAAACAACATTAATTAGTCGCGTGATGAGCGGGACGGCATTGTATCAGACGCCGCTGACATAGTCGGCACTCTGTGTTTTGTTTATTTAATTTATTTATATGTACATAGTATATACAGGTTTGTCAGACTGTTTGTGTGTGTGTGAGAGTGATTGCTTGTGAGTGTGCATATGGTCATTAAATTGTAGGTAAACTTGTGAGAGTGCATATAAATATACGCCCGTTGTAGCGTTTCGGTGCATGAATAAAATATTGTTTTCGTTCGGTATCGACTGCCCAGCCCTGAAAACAATTTTAGCTATGAAATAACACACACATTTGTAAATGATGGCAAAGTATATTGCTGCAGTGCAATAATATCAAAGTGTGCCATGGAAAATCAATATGGCCAGGCCTTAAATACGCACGCACGTTTTAATGCGTACGCGTCGTCGCCTTCAATTGAAACAAGCGAGCGCATTCACAATAGGCGACAAGCCAAGCTGAATTACCTGTGCCGCAGTCACAGACACACACACTGGCTAATGTCCATTCGTGGCATGTACAGCATTCATTCCATACAATTACACATACAGATGTATGTATATGTCTGCATGTATGTAGGTACGCTTGGCTTTGATACGCCAAGTATACAAGTGTGAGCGAGAACGCAGTTGCGTGGCAAGCAAAAACAACAAAAGCAAGCAAAAAGCCGGTGATCCATTAAACAACAACAATACATATGTGTTCGTTTAAGTATGTGTGTATGCGTGTGCCTGTGTTGGTGAGCCGCCAGCGTAGCAGTGGCAGCATCTGTACCCCAGCCGGCAAGGGCAAGTGAGCGCCTTTTCTTGTGTGTGTCGGGCTGTGTGTGTGTGTTTGACCTGTCTTTGGCTTGGGTTCGGGCTTGGGATTTTAGCGCGTCTTTTGCAGGTGTTATCACCTGTTCGGCACAAGTACCTCATCAGTCGAGCAGTGACAAAACTTGTGCTCCAGTTGTACCCACGCAGGTAATCAATTCTTGTCAATGCTGCGGCCCATTCACACGTGTCCGATTACGTGCATTTCACTACTGTGAAAGCTCGCTTAAGCGAATAACCTACTATTCTTCAATAAGAAAAGGTATATAGACATACATATATAAAGCTATATATAACACCCAATATACATAAATTTATAAAGGAAGCTAGAAAGCAATAACACTCAAGGGAAATACTTAGGGTTCATTCATGCGATTTGTTACTGTAAACAAGTTACGTGAACCGAAGCCGGCTAGCGTGGATGAGTTAGATGTTAGTGTTGGAAAGCGACAAAACAATGCTACAACTAGGCTAACCGGGCTTTCAACAAAAATATGTCTAATTTTAGACCAGGTACTTAAGTGGCAGCGACGCCAGTTTATGTGTGTGTGCGCTGTTTGTGAGGGGGTGGAAAATCAATAAAATTAAGCTCAGTGTTGCCACTTGGCTGCAATGGGTGTTCGGGCATAGGGGTTGTGTGTGTTACGTGAGCCCAGGGGGTGTTTTACATAATGGTGGTGCGAGGCTCGGGGGCTGTTTCAGCCCATTTATTTGTGCTTCACTTATATTTGTAAATAATTATGTCTGCATACTTTATGTTGAAATTTGAGTGCACATCGTGACACGAACTGGCAGCTGTTAAAGCGAACGCGAATTAGTTGGCACGACTTCACACTAATTTTAATCATCGAAATCAAGATAATGAATTTTAAAAGACGATAATAATAGTATTAGAACCAAATCGAATGGTATAGGCATTGTAGATAAGCGATAAGAGATGAGCGAACATTTGAGAGAAAATGTATAAGCCTGACAAAATAACAACAAAATATATTATAAATTCAGAACATATTTTATTACTATTATTAATCAGAAAGCCCAACACGCGCTCCTCTCTAACGTAAATATAGGGGTGGCATCTTGCTCAGCTGACTATTACAGCTATAAGTAAGCAGCTGTTTATTGTTGTTGTCGTTGTTGTTGCTGCTTTGACTGCGGCTGCGACTGCTGCTGCTACTGGTATTGGTGCTTTGATAACGGTCAGCAGCAAATGGCGTCGTTGACAGGCGTTCGCTGGCATTACATAAAATTGGTATGGTTAATGGCGTCCACGCCCACGCACGTCCCTTGGCCATATATACATAAATGTATATGTACGTTGAAATGAATTTATCTAATATAGTTGTGTGCCCACAAGCTTTCAGTGAGATATCAACTCGAAGGACTTTTGCCATTTACTGTATATGCATGCATACATATATAGTTTTTATGTGTGTGTGTAGATGTATGTAATTGCTTGGCCCAGTTGGTTAGTTGTCTTACGGTTATCGCATCACAACATCTCTGTACATGCTTTCAGTCGTCAACGGCACGGGAGTTGGGAGTTTTTTTTTTCACGATTTCCTTTTGCTGTTATGGCAACGCCGTCGCAAGACCTTCAAGTTTGTCCTTTGCACAGTTGCCAGGCACCTGTTGTGTATACACACATACACTCGCACATATGTGCATACATCTGTATTTATACATAGATATAAATATGTACCTACATATACATATCTATAAGCGCAACGTGCCCTGTTGATGTATCGATAATTTGTGCATACTGTGAAATGCAATATGCCGTTACATATTTTGCAATACGTTTAGGTCGACATGTGCCAGGCCGGCGCGGAATGTTGTTAATCCAATTTGTTAAACAATTTTTCGTTTCCAGTCAGTGACATTCTGGACGCTCATTATCAAATTTCGATATGAGCATTGCACAAATTTTGCACGCCCAAAAAGCAAACACAGAACATCTGTATATATATAGAAAGTATATGCATATATTGTATATATTTTTGTGTATGTATAATTATTATCTGCAAAGAAAAAAAAAGTAATTCTGCAACAAGTGAATGACTCAGATGACGACGCAAAAGCAATAAGAATAACAGGAATAACAGCAGAGAGTATCGTTGTTTATATTTATTTTACTTTTAAAACTGCGAACGTATGGTAGCGATACACGCATACAGAAATATAAATGTATATCTGTATAGATCTATATAGTATATTAAATGTGTGTATACGTATAGCTAAATCAACTTTGATTCAAAACAAATGTGCTGCAGTATTTGAAAATTTGATAAACCAACTGTCAGCTGAATAATTGTCACCTAGCGAGAGAGGCTCATGTGAGAGAATACCAAGAAGTGCTGGACAGACGGACGGCAACGATTGCCTAAGGTTATCAACTATAGAAATAAAATAAAAACAACAACAGTAACAATAACAAATCATAACAACAATGACTGTACAAACAACAAAATTGTAAACTGATTTGAGCGTAACAAATGACGCTGGCCGGGCGGCAATCATAGACATAGACAAAGGCAAACCAATACGCCACTCCGATTTCATCAATCAACAAAAATTAAATACAAATAACTGTTAGCCATAAATTGTTAAATAACAGTTTTAAAATTCATATTTGCTTTACAAGTACGTGAGTCGCCTCATTGGGAATATGTCAGCGACTGCAGGGCACGTAGTCATCATTTTAGTAATAGCAACTGATAACGCACACATTAGTAGAGCTCTTGCGATATATGAGAGATATGTACATTTACATTATGTGCGCACATATGTTTCTCAATCAATTTTCTAATTTTTCGCATATGTTTTATATTTGTTCATATCGAATCGCATTGCATTGTTATCGGCTCATTGTTATCGCTGTGTGCGTATCCAACGATAAGAGATGGGCAGGATATTCCGATTACCTGTTGCGCCCCAATCGATTGCATTTCGTCTGCAGGCTGCCTCTAGTCCACAGAGTGAATGTGATTGGTTGCTTGCACTAAATAGTAATGCCATGTGCGGTCGCAGAGGTTAGGTTACGCACACATGCGCGAGTAGTGAGCCAATCACCTGTGCGCTGCTGTTATGCACTGGGTTGATCAAGCAAACTTTGAGCTTATGCTTGTCGTCTGCTCGCACGATAAGATAATCACACACATGTGAGCGCCTGTGTCCCGGATCCCCGGCACATACCCCTATGTACAACAATTAATATACATATGTATATAAATACATACATGTATTTGTTGGTGTGTGTCCGCAATCACAAGGCCCCCATAAAAATGCGTCAGCAACCGCATTACGAGCACTGTGGGCCACTCGGAACAGAATATTACAAGCGCTTACATTTATTTGTTTATTTATTATTTCAACTTTTCAATGGAGGCAAGTGCTGGGTCTGTTTCGTGTTTCTATCCATATTGGAGATGAAAGTGTGTCGTGTTTAAATCTCTGACACGATATATTATAACGATAAGATAAAATCCAAACACAAAACAACACCCCAAATGTGGGTATATACCCATTCTTGAACTAATGATCTTTAAATTGCCGAAACAACCTAAAAACCCGTCTGAGTGTTACAATGAGATTAAACTTGTTTCAGTGCTTAATTAAACCATATATTTATACAGAATCAGCATATAAGAAATATTTATACATATATTTATAATTTGTGGCATTTTGAAATAATTTTATTGTATGCAGGTTACTTGTCTGTGAACCCGTATCGGGTGTCATTATTAGGTGGAATTATTAGGTGTTTGTATAAAACACAAGCCATACTCATCCATCATTCTTTCGCCCTCCTCTCTGCAGACTATGATCCTCAGGTGGTCGAGCAAAAAGAGCTGGCACCGCCTGCGTCTTTGCCGCTGAGCTATGTGCTCCGCTACATCTCAGATGATGCTCGAAAGGAGCCATCCACTTTCCTAATCAACAACACCAGCAGCAACAACAACAGCACCAGCAACGCCGGCAGTGGCAATGCGGGCAATGCGGAGCTCAAGCGCAAGCTTGCGATTAAGCATCATAGCTATAGTATGTCATCGTCAAATCGCAGCAATACGCCCACAGGTAAGCATCGCATATATTCATTTATTGGCTTGGCCACTGAACTGATCGCCTTATCTCGCACTTTGCAGGCAGCGAAATGGACGATGATGAAATGGTTGTTTCGGAATCGGAGGACAGCAATGACTCTTGGACCACCGAGGAGTTTAGCTCTGAGTTCATTATGCGTTATGGCAGCAGGTGCGTTCCATTGAGGAAGCATTATGTATTAAGCTATAATCTGTGTCAACTTTTGCAGGCATTCCGGTGGCGGCAGCAATGGCACGCCCGGCAATGAGAAACCGTTTGCGTGTCCCGTTCCTGGCTGCAAGAAGCGTTACAAGAACGTGAATGGAATTAAATACCATTCGAAGAATGGCCACAAAAAGGACGGCAGGTTAGTAACCAAATACATGTCAGCAACAAAAAACACACAAAACTCATTTGCCCATTCCCATACAAATTCCCACAGAGTGCGCAAGGGCTACAAGTGCCACTGCGGAAAGAGCTATAAAACGATGCAAGGCCTGAAAAATCATGCGCTTCACACCCACAACTCACAGCCGGAGAGCGTGCTAACGACGCAGCAGTTAGCTGGCTTAGCGGTAGCCGCTGCAGCGTCAGCAACTGCCGATAATGTGGGCAGATGCAAGACCGAAAACAACAACAGCAGCAATGGCAGCAGCCTGACTGGAAGCAACAATGCCAACAACAATGTTGGCCTGCTGCAGCGCAGCAATTCGCCATCGCAATCACTGGGCTCGCTGAGCCCATCCAGCAGCAACATGTCAAGCAGCACCAGCGCCAGTTGCCATGGCGCAGGCAGTTTGGGCAGCAATAGTTTGTCCAGCAATGCTGCTACTGCCAGCAATATGTTGCAGCAGCTAAGCAATGGCAACATTGTGACTGTAACAAATTTGCCACAACAGCAACAGCAGCAACAACAACAACAGCAGCAGCAGCAGCAACAACAAATGAGCGTCAGCACTCAGTCGCCAAGCGTAACAGCAACAACAGCAACAGGTAACAGCAACAACAGTTTAATGCGCAGCACACTCGGTTTAGTATCCATTAAGGCCAACAACAACAACAGTAATGTTGCCGCTGTTGCTGGCGGCAACAACAACAACAACAACATTACCAAGTCCGTTAATTTAATAGCCGCCAATGCCACGGCCAACAAAATACTCAAGTTGGCCACCAATGTGGCAAACGGCGTGGACATTGCACAGCAACACAAATTGGTTGACAGCAACAATAGCATGTCGAAGGCCAACGGCAGCAATGTAGCCAACGTTGCAACAGCTGTGGTCCCCAGCAACTGTAGCACGCCCACTAAAATCACGCTGCCCAACTTGGTTAACCTGGGCATACTGACGCCGGCCACATCGCCCACCAAGAACACACAGACGCTGACTTTCACTACCACGGCCGCTAGTCAGCAGCAGCAACAACAGCAACAGGCTCTGGTGGCAACACTCACGACCAACATGTTGCAGCAGAACCAGAAGCTGCCAAACATAACCAAGACCAACATATTGCTGCTGCAAGAGCCAACCACAGCTAGCACCCATCTGATACAGTCATCGTCGCAGCATCACCAGCAGCAACAGCAACAGCAGCAACAACCACAACAGCAGCAACACCAACATGTGCTGCCCATTAGTCCCACCAGCAGCAGCAGCAGCAAGAGCAGCTCACCCACACCGGCCCAACAGCAACAGCAGCATAAAAGCCCAAATGCTGCTGTCCTGAAGCAAAAACATGTCATGACAGCGGTGGCTGCAACAAGTGCTTCAGGCGTCGAACCCATGGACACAGATGAGGCACCAATCGTGGCCAGCGATGCATTAATGTTGACGGACAGCAGTCTTTGTTCAGCGACTGCAGCTGCTGACGGCAAGGATCTTATGCCATCGACAATTGCATCGGCCGTCAATTCGGGCACCATCACAGTGGCAGCCATTGAAGTTGTTGGTGCCGGCGTTGTCAACACCGAAACGTAGCCTATACTCAAGCAGCTACTAATGCGGCGCCAATGCTCGCTGGAGGCGACGCCGGCTCCACCAACTTAAACAGCCAGCGTCGCTTCTCGTATACGAACAAAAACAACAACAACCACAAAAACAAGAAATGAAGAAAACAAACCGGAAGAACAGCAAACATTCTAACAATACACTGTAAAAGAACAACATAGTTCGCACTGCTTAGTTAATGTACTCAATTTGTAGTTATAACTTTAAGGTACGCCCCACCCCTCTGGCTGATAAAGAGTTAGAAAGTGTGTGTCTGTAGAGGGGTGGGCCGTCGACACTCACCAAAACCCATTGGAAAAACATTTTTTAGACTGCTTTTTAAATATTTTTTTCGGCTTATATTGACCAGAGCGTATATAAGTTGTGTCTTTAAAAACATTTGTATTATGTATTATGAAAACGCGAATCGTACAGATTGTGCAATATGATTTTGTATACAACACTTTAGTTAGCGATTAACGGCTGATCTCCATTTAATTTAATTAGACATAATAATATATAGACGAAGCGATTGCATATATTTATGCGAACCATTGTAATAAACTGCAAAACTTTTGAATTTAATTTCCAATCTAACGAACACTTTTATTGTCAGAACCAGACTCTATATGCCTCTATATAGAGCATGCAAAAGAAAAGTATTATTTATATTTTAAGAATTAGCAAATTGAACTTCATCTAGAATATTACACACATTTTAACATATATATTAATATATCCATCTGTACTATAAGCATTAGCCCACAGAGCTCACATTATATATATATATATATTAAGTTAACACACATCTCGAAAGATACTTTCCACTTTGGTGCAATAATTTATTTTGTATTTCTCATCTCTCAGACTAAACACAAATTATATTTCTGTTGTAATCGTTTATCTTTTGTTCTTTTTTCATATATTTGGTTTGCCTTTTGGTTTTTTGTTTTATGATTTCGTTACTTCTTTTCCTTTTCTCTCTACCTATTGCAGAAACCTCTTACTCCTGCTCACACAACAACAACAGCAACAGTAGCAACAGCAACAGCGGCAGCAGCAGCGACAGCAGCAATCAACTTGCCGCAGCCAAGTTCAATCGGCCCACAGCAACAGCAGCACCAGCAGCTGCGACAACAGCAACAATGCCAGCCAGCAAGCCGGCAGCGACCACGCCCATGCAAATCTCGTACACCTTCATTGAGCACAAGTATTCGCTGGGCTTCAAAGAGAAATTCTTTTCGAATCTGCGTGCCAGCCGCAATGGAACCTTGTCTGGGGGCAATGGCGATCAGCTGGCAGCAACTGCTGCTGCCATTGGGGCAGAGTCAGTGGGTACCGCAACAGTTGCTGGTGGTACTGGTGGCAGCAGCAATGCCAATATGCTCGGCGCTGTTGCTGTGGGTCAGATGTGCGCGCTGCAGAACGAGCATATACATCAAAATCTCTACAAGAAAACAATCAATTAAGTGTCAGATCGGATCAGATCGGACCGCATAGAGAGCGTTGGCTGTGATGAAATAGCACTTAAGTAAGGCATTAAGTCGGAGCAAGAGGATTCCCCAATAAGGCAGTAGAGAATTAGGCAGAGCAGACCGAATTTGATTTTTAAAATACATAATTTTCTATATAATTGTTAAAGCCGCTTCACACAGTACACCCAAACAAAACTAACCTAAAATTGGCAGAAAGCAGCAACTACAGCACACACCAAGCAGCAGCAAATGTATTCATTTATATATAAGACCTATCTGTCTCCCTCTCTATCTCTCTTAAATCTGCACTAGAAAATTCAAAAAAAAAAAAGGAAACCCCATTTAAAAATTAAGCATAAAATTTAGTGAATACATTTTTGAAGGTGTTTCTTCAACTAGTCATTATCGTAGTTAAATTAAATATTTTTGATTCACTTATTGAAATGTATGTAGCCAACTACTACGTCAAGGGTTTAAACAATTTCATTTTCCACGTAGTAATTGGCTAACAGCATTTTTCATAACAAATTCATCATATTGGCAAAATAAAACACATTAGCAAAATTTTTCGTTAGGCGCAAAGTTAAATTTGCCAAAATATACTTCGAGTAAAAAAAATATTATAAAACAAAAATATTGTATCGAATATGCAAGCCAATAAAATAGCTAGCTACAAATTAAATAAAAAAAATTGAAACTGAAGAAATACAAAAAAAAAAAAATAATAATAATAATAATAAATGAGTTGAAGCTTTAAAGCTTCAACTGTTTCCGTTTAACACCCACAATAACTCGTATGGTAGTTATAGTATTATATGATATAAATTAGGAATATATATTTGTAGATATATGTGCGTATTTTAACATTTAATTTATATATTGTTCTCTATGTGTGTGTCTGTACGATTATCAATTGATCTAATGTTTGTCTTAATTACAATTTTCGATCGTCCTTAAATGTAATAAACATAACAATAATATAATTATATATATATACAGATAGCTATATGTTCTATTTCTATGATGTGAGTCATATTCAAAGTATTTTATGCATGCATACAAAATTAACATTAATAATTAGAAATTATTTAAAGAAAACAAAAACAAGAAGGAAGAGAAATCAGGGATGTGTCAAACCACGCCCCAGCAATCAATAAGAAAGAAAAAACTGTAATTGGGTTCCTTATGTACGAATAATGCATAAAATTTAAAGGATAAAAGAAAACATGAAGAAACTAAACACGAAACAGAACAAATTAATTGAAATTTTAAATATATATATATTATATATTACATATATACAATACAATATATATACAAGCATAAACGTAAATATACATAATACTAAAATATATATTATATATATAAATATATGTATAGGAATACATAATAATAGTAATATAGTATACCTAAAGCCGCCAACCGCCAAACAACAACAAATTTTGAAGCGCATTTGCGAGACGCCCAGCGTCTAAAATTAGACTACAACTAAATCCTAAATAAATGTGCGTCCCCCTCCCTAACCCTATATAATAATATATATATACAGTAGATCCATAAGACCACACGCTTATGCGGCCTATTATTGGCTGATATAGTTTAGCTACCAACTTTTATATAAACAAGAAGGAAAACTATTGCATGCTTCGGCCAATCGAAGCTTACATATCCTTGCAGATTGTTTTTTTAGAAATCAAGATTTTTCCAGAAGCACATTTCTCCTGTCACTGCATAGAAGTTAGGCCCCCAAACTTTCCCATCTGTTCAACCGATCTGCAGGGGTGAATGAAAAAGTTTTTGCGCTAAGGATATATAAATCGGAGATAGGCAAGAGCGAAAAAAAAAACAAACTTTGAAATGCAACTCAAAACCCTCTAATGAAAACAATAAATTAATTATATATATACATATTTCTATATTTAAATGTATTTCATCTTATATAAGACTGCTGTTATGTTCGTAAATATATTTAATATATATTATAATTAACGAAAAATATAAACCATACAAATAAAAATGAAGAAAAAAACAACAAAAATGAATAGTTAATGTATTCATACTCTACCTATATACATACGACTATGTACTATACTATATGCATATATGATATAATGTACTGTAATTAACTAAACTTCGTAATTATGTATATGTAGAGGATTAATTGAAGCGTATGTGTATGTAACCAACAAATCAATCTATATATTGAAACAAGGGCTAAAGTTGTAGAGACTTGAAATATGACGGGTTTAAATATCGAGTAACCAAATTACATCATCATTATCATTATCATCCACAAAAAAAAAAAAAAAAAGGAAACAAAAACAAAGTAGTAAAATATTCTCTTTTTGCTTTATGTGATCTATATATACATATACATTGGAACATACATAACTACACACATATACATATATCTATATATATGTACAATAAAAAATGTCCTTGGAAAAAAATCAAACATTTTTTTATCTATTTCGGGGATATACATGAACTGAAATTATTAATCAACAAGTTTTTAGTATTCTCCCTCAAAAATAATATCCAATAATTTTTGTTCATAGAACTTTAAATAACAATATATTTGGTTAAATACTTGAGTATCTTTTAAATATGTTCAATTCTAAACCGAGCGTATCTGAAGTTTTCTACAATAACTACATTGGTGGAATGTTAGGTTAACGTCTTGCTTCAAGCATGCCAATGTAGTGGCCAATTTTCTCGAGGAGTACGGGATCGCGGATCACTTGCATCTTTGACTGGAGCTCATAGAGGCTGTGCAAATCCCGTTGCTCAAAGGCGCAATCGATGGACTCCTCGTACAAGCTGAAATGGAATAGTTTCAATAGGCATATACCCAGAATATATCACAACAAAGAAATTACCCAGCTCGCGTATACCAGTACACCTTGCGCTTGTCCGGACAACGTTGAATATATGTTTGTGCTTCTCGTACATTTTCCTGCTGCAAGCAGACCTCCACGAAGGGTTCATACCCAATTGGGCTTTTCTTGCTCTTCGAAAACTTCTCCAGCTCTGCCCAGTTGTGTTTCTCAGCCAAGGTAAGTATTCTCAACCACCAAAACCTGCGATCAGGGACCTTATAATCGCTTTTGATCTTCTCCGCCTCCTTCAGCTCGCCTATTTTCAACAGCTCGTACATAGTGTCATGTATGGATAGACCGTTGAATTCAGTGGTGCCAATGTGCTTGGTCGAGAGAGTCTTCTGCAGCTTAAGCATGCGCGCCGTATCCGCGCATAGTTCAGCCTCAACAGTGCATCTGCCCTGTGCGTAGCTATTGCCAATATTGGACAGATTCGATTCAAGACCCTCGCTTTCGAGTGCATTATAAAAATGATACTCAGCAATAGACTTGTGATCATCTTCGGTGTTGTAAATATCAAAAAGTGCTGTTCGACTGGACTCCATCATAATCTTCTTGTACATATTCAGTGCCAAAGGATATTCTCTTATGATCATCTACAAGATTGAAGCAATTAGTTGTGAAAATTAAATATATGAAAAATAGTTCAATTTACATGGAAATTAGAGAGCATCATTTTCTTTTTTATTTCGAGCAGAACTTCCGTAACCAGTTCCGTATCGCCAGATTGTGTGGCACTCGCCACTGCCCGATCGAATTTGCCCATTTTCAAAAGCAATGGCACATGTAACGAGGCACGCGGCTCGAGCTCCAACAGCTTAATGGCCAATTCACTGCGTCCATTTTGATAGGCCTTTTCTGCTATATTGCAATAGGAAATGCCCTCGATTGAGGGATTCTTGAATTTCTCCGTTATCTTGCGAGCCACCTCATTATCATCTGAAAAGAGAAACATGAATAGCTACAAGAAATAAAGTACTGTGCCTCATCTTACTCTGATCATTCATGACCTTATGGTAAGCCCAATGCTCCAAGATCCAAGATTCGGGTAATTTTAGATGCTTGGCCACCTGTATGGCCACGGCATAATGCTTGCGAAAGACTAGACGACTCAAAATCACCTCTGGATTAAGATGAGAGAATCTGCAAAAATATATTTATAAGTGGATATTTAAGTTATTTAAATGTCTATATATTTTACTGCTTATAGGTCAGCGGCATGGCAATTTTCTCATGGCGCAAAGTATTTAAGACTCTCAATATCCTCAAGATGCGCATATACTCTTCGGGATTATGTGATGGTATAAAGCCCTTGCCAAAATAAGCTGTCTGAAATGGAAGGCATTGAAAGGGTATTGATGTGAATACGGATATTCAATGGATATACAACTTACTCGCATTAGACTCTTCTGGGTTTCGGGGCAGAATTCATATGCTGCAGCCTCGATGCACTCATTAACAGCCAATTCAATGTTTGACCGGCACATGCTTAGATATTCATCGGACTTGTAGGATTTCTCCTCGAACTTCTTTTGTGCCTCGAATAGGTAGCTCGCTGGCGCCTGGCTATTTACGGCAAATATGTTCTGTACACACTTCGGCAGACGCTGAATCATTTCATGTGAGGTTTGGCTAATAATGCGAACACCATCCATTTCAGCGACCAGAAACATGACCGGATCACTGGGAATTTCGCTCCTGTCTGCATTGCGGTTAACAATCAGGAGATATGAGGGATAGGAAATGACAACAGCATCTGCGTCGCTATTATGGGTATTCATGATCCATTCAATTTGCAATGGAATATCCTTCCGGCCAGTGTCGAACTCGCAGTACTTCTGCCGCATGTCGACGCTGCCCAGCCAGAGCAAACCGGTGTTGGTGTATAGCGCCAAGTGCTGATGGTTGTACGAAACAGAAATCTTGATAATCCGATCATGAGGTTTCTCAAAAAGATTTGCCGTCACGGTGCCCACAGATTGGCCGTGCTGCAGCTTGATGACTTCTCGTTCACGTCCTAGCAGACAGTAGCTATTGCGACCCTCGGTTACAATTTCCCAGCACGAACAATTCGCATTTGAATCTGACAAAAGTGAAGTTCATTTAGTTTAATGTGCGGTAAAAATCTCATTGCTTTTCTCACTTGGTATATCAGGTAACTTTCGCTCAGTTTTGTTGCTGTTCTGCTTTAGAAATATGCGTCCGGAAGTTGTCATAACGGCAACACCAGTGCCAGCTGCGGATTGAAACACTTTGGCCTCCACGATCTTAATGACGCTCGCTTCGCCGCCAATGCTATACGATTCCTTCTCATTTCCAAACAGATCATAGACAAACACTTTGGCGTTCTCCAGCACACAGATGAGCTCCTCAGTGTCGGACCAGCCCATCGAAATCAACTTGCCATGGTTCCACTGCATTTACATATATGTATATAAATATAAATACCCACTTGTTGCTCGTTATATCAGCTGCTTACCAAAATATGTCCAGTCTCATTGCCGCTGGTATCAAAAATCCGAATCATCGGTCTCGCTGCGCCTCTGACGGGCACCAATTTCGTTGCATCTCGTATTGCAGCCAAAGGACCTCCGTAGGGGGCTACTGCAACTTGCATGTATTCCAAATCAAAATCGATCGGCCAATCAGGTGTTGCAAGCTCAACTTTTCTGTGGGCGTTCGACCGCAAGAGAGAGATATGTATATATTTTTCATCAGTGAAAAGTTTAGTTTACTTTATTCCTCACCTGTAGTAGTCCGGCCGCACTTTAAACCACTCTCCTGTATTGTTCATAATCGGCATGATTAAGTTAATAAATATTTAAATACTTTAAGGAAAAAATAAACAGACGTAGTGCATTTTTCCGCTACTGTTGTTGGTCTGATTAGAGAATGCAGAAGTGGGTGTAACAGTTACTTGTCACGAATCGTAGTTCCATTAAATTAATCGTATTACGATAGGTCACCATAAAATTGAAAATTATACCAAGTAAATAAAGTTATGGTTATAGCTATAAATAAACAATTCATTAACATTTTACAATTACTGTTTTACTAATTGTTTTCTTGTTTAAAATAGTTTACGATAGTTTTGATTCGTGACAGCATTTTCCGTGTGTGAGCCCCTAACATATTCAACGCTGGTTCTGCACATGTGAAAGGCCAATTTCAACAGGCAGTATTATTTGTCACAGCGTTACGCTTTAAACAACTTTAAACATTACTAGTTTATTAACAAATGGCAGACACAAAGCAAACAGTTGTTGAGGGCGTCGATGCACTCACCCTAAATGGCAAAGCCGACGCAGAGACTGTCGAAACGGCGACGGACGCTGGTGGCGCTAAGGCAGGAGCAACAACCACAAACGCTGACGATGTGGTTGATCCATGGAATGTGGCTAGCAGCAGTGATGCAGGCGTCGATTACGACAAGCTAATAAGTATGCAACACGATTTTGTGGTCACTTAAATCTTGAAAATTATCTATATATATAAATATTTTGTATTGACACGTTGCAGAGCGTTTTGGCTCGAGTAAAATCGATGAGGAACTTATTACACGATTTGAAAAAATCACAGGAAAGCCAGCTCATCATTTGATTAAACGCGGTATCTTTTTTTCGCATCGTGATCTTCACTCAATTTTAACGCTAATCGAGCAGGGCAAACCATTCTATTTGTACACGGGCCGAGGACCCAGCTCTGGGTCCTTGCATGTGGGTCACCTAGTGCCGTTTATTCTGACAAAGTGGCTGCAGGAAACGTTCGATGTGCCGCTGATCATTCAGCTGACGGACGACGAGAAGACGCTATGGAAGGACCTGAAAGTCGAGGAGGCTATCAGGTTGGCTCGTGAAAATGCAAAGGATATTGTGGCCATGGGTTTTGACCTGAACAAGACTTTCATATTCAATAATCTGGAGTTTATGGGGTAAATACATATGCGTACCATATACACTTTGCGCATAATCGAATCGTTTCCTTTCCAGCAAATGTCCTGCGTTCTACCAGAACATAATTCGAATTCAAAAGTGCGTCACTTTCAACCAGGTGAAAGGCATTTTCGGTTTCGGCGACTCGGATATTATTGGCAAGATTGGATTCCCCGCCGCGCAAGCAGCACCCGCCCTGTCAAGCACATTTCCCTTTATATTTGGAAATAAGAAAGTTCACTGTTTAATACCCTGCGCTATCGATCAGGATCCATATTTCCGAATGACTCGCGATGTGGCCCCACGACTGGGATTCCCCAAATGTGCGCTCATCCATTCCAGCTTCTTTCCGGCTCTGCAGGGCGCCAAAACGAAGATGTCGGCGAGCGAGCAAAACTCGGCTGTATTTCTGACTGATACTCCTAAGCAGATCAAGAATAAAATCAATAAATACGCATTTTCGGGCGGACGCACCACAGTTGAAGAACATCGTCAACTGGGTGGCATTCCTGACATCGATGTCGCCTATCAGCTACTCAAGTTTTTCCTAGAGGATGACAAGAAGCTCGAAGAAGTGCGCGTTGCCTACAGCAAGGGTGAAATGCTGACAGGCGAGATCAAAAAGCTGGCTATTGAGGTGAGCTGCAGCAAGAACTTCGACTCAGAAATAAACTAATTCTTCGATTTCCCCACAGACTCTTACGCCCATTGTGGAGCAACATCAGGCAGCGCGTAAATTGGTAACGGATGAAGTGCTGGATAAATATTTTGAGATCAGAGCCCTGAAATTTGGAAGCTAGAGCCATTATATATATAGAATGAACATTGTTTACACACAAACGTATTTATTGATTTGTGTGTTTGCCGCACAGCTGAAAGCTTGTTGCACACACACACAAGGCCCACGATGCGCTCGCTATTTATTTACTAAGCAAAATTTTGTGTTATTATTTTTATAAGCACACAGAGCAACAAAATGCAAACAAACCAATAAACGGCTACAAACTGACCCACTTTGGCTAGTTGTAAAATAGCTGTAAAACTCCAGGCTCCAAAAACGGGAATAGCGATTGAGCCGTCGCGTCGACTCCACTATTTATATACATATATATATATTTCATATATTTGTATATGGTGAATATATAGCTACTATTCTGACGCAAGCATCTGGTAAAGCAGCTAAAATAATATATTTCCGACTCGTCGCTGCGAAAAAATGTAATAATTTCCGTGTAATCCGAGAGTTATTGAACGCATTCGATTTCTGTTTCGCTCATAATACTATAATCTTAATAAAGCGAGTAATGAATTTAGCTACAGGTCGAGAGTACTAGTTGGGCCCACGATGTCTATGGGCCAACTATACCTGAAGTAATATAATTGATATACAGATATGTACATGTATAGGTATATGGAAATGTATGTTTATCAAACCCTATACTAGTGATGGGTATATGTATTTGACGTATATACAGGTAAGTATATATGGGTTTCTTTTTATTTCATTTTTTTTTTTTTAATTAACCCAAAACACTTGTGTTTACACGCGTTGAAAATATATTTATGTATATATGTATATCTATGTATATATTTATACACATGTGTGTGTATATATAGAGCTAAAGCCAGCCTCTATACGGAGCGCGGTCGGTGCGCTTGTGTATATCATATACGAAGAATGCTGCTGCAAAGAAAAATGAACTCAAACTCAAGTCGAGACGACAACGACGACGACGACGACGTCGACAACGATCCATAAAGCCAGTTGCCCATAAGCCAAACGCGACTTCAGCATTGCACACGCGCATCATCTTCGATTCTCCCTGACAATAGAAGGAAATTAAGCCGCAGTCACCTTTGTTATTATCGGGGTTGCTGTTGTTGTTGTTGTTATTGTTGTTGTTGTTGCTGCTGCTGCAGCGACAGGTAAACAAAAGGAAAAGCCGACACACGTAGCCGATCACGATCCTTGACTGTTGACACACGTACCACGAGACACTCCATCAACTGGCTGACGCCATGGACCGCAGCTCCACTGACGAATGATGAATAGCTAGGAAAAACAGTTTTCATTGCATACACTTCTAGTGCAGCTCATGCATCGACCAGAGAATATTCTTAAGCGACAAAAACAAAATCGAAAGTGGGGATCATTGGCCAGCGACAGGTCGTCGGCAGCGAACGTCAATCGGCTTAAGCGATGAGCGATCAACTGTTGAGCGCTGCCACGGACGACGATCCACCGGCACTGATACCGACGCCGGTGTCATTGCCCAGCGCCTATGTGGACGCTGATGCCTCTGCCGAGCAGCCCGTGCTCCTGGAGCTGGGCGCCGCTCAGCCGCCGGCAGCGAATCTCAACTATTCGCTCTCGCCGGACGGCGCTGCGATGCTCACCTATACAGCGCCCGCACACGCTCACATCAGCTATTCGCCCACATTGATGTCCAGCTACGAGAAGCAGCACACTCTCGGCTTGATCGGGCCGGCAATTGGTGGCAGCTCCGCCTACAGCATCAGCATACCACAGACCGTGTCCATGTGGCATGATGGCTGTGCGCCGCCTGAGCCCAAGCGCAGCGAACTGGTCGCCGTGCCACCGCCCACATATATGACCTATAGCGGGGGCAGCAATGGGAGCGGTGGTGTCGCTGGTGCCGTGGAGGTGGAGATCGCCAAGGAACAGAATCCCGCATGGCGCGAAAAGGCGCTGCAAATGGAGAAAGACTACAGACGCACGGCCTGTGATCGAGAGCGCACGCGCATGCGCGACATGAACAAGGCCTTTGATCTGCTGCGCTCCAAGTTGCCCATCTCGAAGCCAAATGGCAAGAAGTACTCAAAAATCGAGAGCTTACGGTGAGTGAATCATGTGTGTAATACATGCATCATGGAGCTGATCAGCTAGCTTCCCTTTACAGCATCGCCATCAACTACATCAATCATCTGCAGGCCATGCTGCGCGAGAATCACGTGCTGCCCGAAACCGAGCTGGTTTCGTTCAAGTGCAGCAATCGCTCCCTGAACTACGATGGCCAGGGCCAACATCTCAATCCCTCCGCTGGGTATGACTACGAGAACAGCGCCTCGGCGGCTGCCTCATCCCAGAATGGCTGCACCTGGAGCGGTGGCAGCAGCAGTTCCCCCAACTACGAGACCAACTCCAAGGATCATTGGAACACGTAGCCAAGGTTTGGGCTAATCAGCACAATTCACGTGCCATTGCCAAAGAAAGTTTCGGAATATGGTTAATTTTCATCATACAGTGACTCCTTTTGATTTGTAGATATCGTATAATACCAGTGTACCATGGCTAAACTTGACCTGTTGTTCAGTTTATAAAAATATATAATTTAATATGAAAACAAATTTTTTTTTTATGAAAAATTCTAATTCTTGACAACAAATTCTACATAATTTTACATTATTATACCAAAAAATTTATATAGAAAAAATGAAATCTCTTAGTAATAGCAATCCTGAAAAATAATTATATTTAATATCATTTTTAGGATTTAATTTGATTGACATTTAAATTAATAAATATTTTAAGAATCCAGTTATTTTTTATATAATACGAGAATTCTTGTATTAAATCGTGGATAAAGTTTTTAGGCTTCAGTGTCATAAATTAGTATAACTCTAGTTGGGCCGTGCTTATTGGAAACCCCATTGTGACAAAAATTTGGTTGATCAAGTTAGAAGTTCAAAAAAATACTGAACACCAGCCCGATTCCTCCGTTGCCAATGATAAACATTTTAATAATTTAATTGTCGCTACAGCAATTGTCTTTTTAGGTTATATTTATTTTAACTTTACGCTTTAAACATTTTACAGTTGATAATTTACATAAATTGAAAAAAAGAATTGATTGTTTCGATAATATGTTAACCTAAAAAGTACAACAAACAGAAAAAATATATAACAAGTAATTATAGTTGATAATGGAATTGCTGAACTGCACTTTAGATTAATAAGTTTGTAATACTTATTGTATACTTTATGGGTGGCATACACAAAGCCAACTACACACTGTTCACACACGCATACACACAATTTGTCCGCTAAAGAATTGAATGAAGAACAGTATTGGGTTTTTTTTTTTAGTTTTTGAGTTGACTTTTTCGCAACATAAATGGGGCGAAATAACAAAGGATGTGGAAGGTTTTCAGACGCTGTTTAGCATTTTGGCCAACGAGCGCTTAGTTGTCCTTCTTCATTCTTGTGGAGGTCATGCGGTAGATGATGGAGTCACGGCCGGGATCCATGGAGCCGATGGCATAGCAGATGGCCAAAAGCGACAGACCGAATATGACCATGAACCACAAGATGATGTTGAAAATGACTGGATAATCTTCGTTATAGTAGACGGCGAAATTGTATTTGTTATCGTCATCGGCTGCGATAGCTTCGCGCTTGTTGCGGGAATTGGTTTCCTTGTCTGTGGATAGAACAAAGAGCACCGAGTCGCTGGACTTCTGTGCGGCAGCCAGAAGACGACTGATGGCAGCAGAGATCAGCTTGTTGGCCTCGTCCACAGCAAGAGACTTCTCTCCATGTGCCTTGGCAATGCCGTCGACAGACAGGCGAATGAGCAAAACGTTGGACGGTTTCAGCATCTCGGCCAAGTTCTCGGAGGCGGCATTGATGAAACCAATTTCCTGCAGGAACTGCTTGTCAGCATTGTGCAACGTGGGGTTCAGGTGCTTGGTGGGCTTAGCAGCGGGCGTCTCGAATTCGCCAAAGCAAGCCCTGAAAGCTTGTACCTTAAAAGGAAAAATATAATTGATTAGATAAGATTTGACCATGAGCTACGCTAACTTACGCCCTCATCGTATTGGTCGAAGTTAATATCGCAGACGGGTTCGTTGGCTGCCTCCAGCTCAGCGGCCAGGGCATTCAGCGAATGTCCAGTATTGGAGCCCACCAGTTCATAGGACTTTGCATTGCCTGTCGTTGTCACATGGCTAAGGCCCTCCACATGCACGGCAATAACGCCCTTGGCCAAATTGAAAGGATCGTTAATGGTCAGGCCAGTCCAATCAGAATCACCAACGACGGGGTTGCCCATGGAGGCATATAGCACATCGCCGACATCGCGACTGTTCAGGGGATCAGTGCCCTTGAAGCTAATCGCCTTGGGGCTGTTCAGCACGGTGAACTCGCCAGCGGCATGAACTGTGGAATGTTTTTAATAAGTTTAGTTTCTATTTTAATACACTTAGTATAGTAATACACTTGGAACTTTACGATTCTGCGCAACCAGCAGTCGATGGGGCTCTTTCAGCCACCTCCACCCTGATTAGCAGAATCGATGCGAGTTTTGATTAAAGAATTTACACAATTCAAACACATTGCACGCTTTGTAAACATATTATAATCAATATTTGAATAGATTTACTTACTTGCTGCTATACATAATGAAAAAATGAGTACGTTTTGCAACATTTTCATTTTTCTGCCAGCCTTTTAATCATATGACGAACAACTGCACATAGAAAAACCTACTACGCTCTGACTGTCATGTGATGGGTAGAAGAAGTGGTCGCTATCGAAAGTAGCTCATCTCTAATGGCCAGGGCTGTCGTGGTTTTGCAGCAAGAAATGTCAAATACTGTGACGTCACAAACTATCCACAAGAAGTGGTATACCAGATATATAACAGTATTTAATACTGTTCTGCAACAGTCTTCGCCATAATTATATACACATATAAGCCATCGCCATGCATTTATATTAATGGTAGATGGAAAAATAATTGGCAGTGCATTTTCGGTATTTTCGGTATTTTTGTATTTTACAGTGACGGTCCGAAGTTTTTGTTGTGTTTTTGCATTTGTTTTTGCAAAATCAACAAAAAGTGAATAAAACCCACACAATTTTGCTGAATTTTAAATATGTTATGTTCCCTGGAACAGGTTGAGGGCATGCTGAGTGTCCTCAAAACCTCGACAGACAAAACTGTTGTATATAAATGCCTGGTAAAACTTCGCACAGATGTGGTCAAAAACAAAGATGGAATTGTTTTATTCCGAACTGCAGGGGGTGTTCCAGTAATGGTTCGCCTGATTAGCAAATTGAATGAAAAGATAATGGAAGTTGTACTGAGCATATTGGGCAACTGTTGCACCGATGAACAGGCCTGCATAGAGGTGAGTGCGAAAATATCTAAAATGAATTATAAATTATAATTAAATTTATCTCTAACAGGCTGTGGACTGTAAGGTCATTAGCCCGTTGATAACAATATTGAAGACAATTCCCAATCCGCTGATACAATGCCGCGCCTGTCGCATGCTTGGCAATTTGGCCAAAAGTAAAAAGGCCTCGTCCTTTTTAAGTGTTCACTATAGCGCCATAGCGCCAGCAATTTGCCATATCATCGAGTCCACCAGCGCCGTTCAAACGAAAATAATGGCCTTTCGTGTCTGTCGACTCTTGCTGGTCAGCCCTCAGTTCTATAAACAGTTTTTAGCCTCCAATGGCTTCCTGCAGCTGATGCATATATTTGTGTCGGTCATGAAGAACAATGAGGCGCCCAAAGCCTCGGACCAGAATGCCGCCGATGTCTCAGCTTTAGTCGGCCTCAAGCGGAATCAGCACCGGGAAAAATATTTCGAGGAGGTGGCACGAAATCTGGAGGGTGTACGCAGCGACATCTTCGACTATCAAATGCTAAAGAACTCGACGCGGAACTGCGAGTACGTGTTGCCCAAGGAGAACGATGCCATCGAGCTGGCCTATGAGATCCTGAAGTGTCTCATGCTGCTCTCGGCTCAGCAAATAGGCATGAGAGCCTGGGAGGTGCGTATGGAGAGTTTGATATTATACTTATTTCCTACATTAATTCATTTCCATATATACTAGATACTTTCACGGAATACTTCGCTGGCACCCATTGTATATTTTGTGAAGGAAGATAGTGAACAACGCGCCTCGGCCCTTAAGATTCTATCGAATTTCTGCAAGGATCCCTATGCATTCTATATGCTTAGCACTGCCGACTCCATTGTGGCTGCCTGTGAGTTACTCATGGCTGTCAACATGACCAAGCCGCTGTCGGAGAGCGAGAGCCGACATTGCGTGAACATTATATCGACACTGTCAGTGGATGCCTGCAGCCGCTCCAAGATACGGCGCTGCGGTGCACTGCGCAAACTGGTGGCCATGATACGGGATTCACATTCACAGAGCGAGCGTTCATCTGTATGTTGTATAACCATTTACATATTCATATCCTTACTATCATATTTTCTTCCAGCTCTTTCAAATTCTAAACAACTTTCAATACGACAACCTGAGCATGGAAATGCTGCTCTATGAGGGTCTGGTGCCAATGCTGGTGCGTGAGCTGAATGATTATTTGACCAGTGATGAGGAGTATCACAAGCGACGACGTGAGGAGCGTATACAGGGTGGCAAAAAACGAAAGTTAACTGATCCCACAACACCAGAAACTCTCAGCAAGGTAAGTAGAAACATATATTTATAGATCATATATATAGCACTCAGCTTCTCTCGACTTCTATGCCAGTTCGCGAAATCCCAGGAGCCACTCAGCTCGGACTTTGACTCGCCCAGCAGTTCGCCACGCTCGTATCGCACCACCAGTCCGTGCAGCTCGCGCAGCATGTCGCCCGTTTGCTCCAATCTGTTTGCCAACGATGACGACGAGAACTATTCGCCCGCCTGCAGTGACGACGATGACGACGAGGACGATAGCAAGGCGAGCAGTGGCAATATGGACACACGCGAATCTCGCATAGCTACGAATCGTGCACAGCCGGCCAATGTCATGGACATACTTAAGCTCATTGATGAGGGCAGCGAAACAATTGACGACACCTTGTCCGACAAGGAGGACATGGACGAGCTTAGCTCCGATGTGCCGCCCAAGCTGGCGCAGCTGCGCAGTCAGGCAGGCGACACTATCGACATCATTGAGAACCTAATTTACCGCATTACGCTGATGATCAATAAGCGGCCGGAGCTGGGCAAGCCAGAGACACTGGACACCCTAATACGAGCCATCAATCTCTTTGGAGCCAACAATAATTTTGCCAATGCGTTGACCAATATATTGCTGTAAGTTTGAAGATGGCCTTAATGTTGAAATGATTTGGTGATGATTTGAATCTTTATGCAGCGAAAGCCAGTTCTTTGCCCAGATCATCAAGCATGGCGTTGTGCATCAGCTTTATCAACTGACCAAAGTGGAGGAGGTATTGCAAGTCCCTTAACGAATTGAGTTGTGCTTACGAGCAAACCCTTTCTAATCCCAACTTCCGGTCATCTCATTTGAATAATCTTGCAGATGCGCAAGGATGGCTTTGCTTTTCTGGAGACGCTCACGAATGTGGGTGAGTCCAACTACGGCAAGGAGGAGCTGGTGCGATTGCTGCGCTGCGAAACAGATTTGAATGCACAGCAACGAGCGGCCATCTCCGTGGCGTACATCATTAAAAGCCATCGGCTGCTCTATCAGTTCTTGTATGACGGCAATGCGCTGACTCTGCTCTTCGACTTGCTGCTGCGCAAGAAGAGCGACAATTTGTATGCGGATGAGGCGGCGGATGCTGTGACGGCCATGTCACGCTTTACGCTGGGCATTGTGCTGCCCAAGCCCGAGCAGGTGGACAGCAGCAGCAGCATCTGTTTAAGCCAGCTGAACGCAACAAACATGCCACTGCATGAGCATTGTGATATGCGGTTTCTACTGCCCAGCGAGAATGTAGAAGGCAAGGACGGGGAGGGCCGGGCGACGCTCAGCATTGGCTTCAACAAGCAGCTGCTCTGTGAGACCAGCGAGGTGTTCAACAAGATGCTCAATAGCGACTTCCGCGAGGGCCACGACGGCGAGATCCAGCTGCGCGACTATACGGCCAACGGGCTGAGGTATTTCCTCCACTTGATTGGCTGCCAGGAGAGGCATCTGGCCATGCCAGACTATGGCGCCCTGTTGCAGGCTTTCGAAATGTCGCGAGTGTACATAATACCGGAGCTGGAGGCGCTCCTGCACGAGCGGCTGATACAGTTCCTGGACTCACGCAATTGCCTGCGCTTGCTGGAGTGGGCCCTGAAGAACTACCATGCGGAGCTCACCGAGACAGCGATCAGCTATTATCTGTGCGCCGCGCTGCCGGCCCAGGATAAACTACAGCTGTTCCGAGCTGCCGAGGACTCGGTCTATGCCAGCGAATGGTTCCAGCTGCTCAACGATGCGGTCTACGAGAGATGTCGCAGCACCGGCTATTAGCTACTTAAGATTCATGCCCGACCTGCCAACTATTAATGTGATTGTCGTTGTCTGTCTATGTATTTGTATTGTTTAGGTGTGTGTCCATGTGTGGGAGATTGTGCCAATTGCAAACAGTTTATATTTCAAGACCCAGCCAACTTTATAAGAATGCGCTACAAAATTAATACTAGGAATAATAAAATATCTAAATCTAACTGCGCTGTGTGGACTCGAAGCTGGGCATGGCACAGAATCGGAGCACCAGCCAATCCGTCAAGGGAGCTGGCGTCAGCTTGAAGAGCCAACGGTAGACCTTATAGCGCCAGGGTTCGTGTATGTACAGCGTCTTCGGTTGAGCATTAGTTAGCGCATCCTTGAACTTTGCCAGCAGTGCCTCGTCCTGGAGCTGATTGGGTCGCTTGAATCCACTCAGCATGCTCAGGTACTCGTGGAACGCCTTGAAGTAGCTGCCATAGTAGGCCAGCTGCTCCGCGCTGAATGCCTCCAACTGCTGCTGGGCCTGCTGCTGCTGGCGTGCGGCGATGTTGCTCTCCAGCACAAAGGAGCCGGGCACAAAGTTGATCACCTCCATGCCATGCGGCTGCAGCTCGATGCGCAGTGCATCGTTCCACACCCGCAGCGCGGCCTTAGTGGCAGCATACGGCGCCAGAGCGGGCAGCGCCTGGAAGCCACAGTGGCTGGTCACGTTGATGATGCGCGCACGCTGCTGCCGCAGCAGCGGCAACAGTTGCCGGGTCAGACGCATGGTGCCCAGCAGATTGCAGTTGATCTGGTGCTCGATTTGCGCCGACAGCTGCCATTCGAATTCGCCGAAGCACATGACGCCCGCATTGTTGACCAGCGCCATCAGCTGGCAGTCCGTGCTGGCCAAGAGCTGCTCCAGCTTGGCATGTAGCTGCACTATAGACTCCGGCTCCAGCAGATCCAGCTGCCAGGTGTGCATGCGTCGTCGCTCATTCTCGCTGCTCATCCGCAGCAGCAGCTGGGCGCCCTGCGACTCCAGGTTGTGGCAGCAGGAGATGACTGTCATATGCAGCGCCCTATAGCAGTAGACAGCCAGGGAGTGGCTGCATCCAAATGTATATAGAAATAATGTATATATATCTCTATCATGCACGAGGTCAGCTTACCCCAAGCCCGAGTCGCAGCCCGTCACCAGCACCACTTGACGTGGCCCAACGCTCAGCTGGCGTCGACCCAAGCCCAGGCAGCGTTTCAGGGCGCTCAGCAGTTGATTGCGGCTGCCCATATCGGCGGTTCCAGATAAACTGACGAAAAAACTCCCAGCAAAATCAAATATGAGAGGAACGAACGAATAAAATGTAAACATGCAAAACGAACCCGAAATTTTAAATCATCTCATACATATATGCACTTCTATGTATGCGTCGGCATTATCTGTAGCTCAGCGATATATACTTGTATGTATGTATATAAATATATTTCTGTACACTTATACATAGATCCATTCGCTTGCGACTCGCACCTTTCGAGTCTTACCTGCGCATTAGGCTGTTGCCAAAAAACAAGAGAATAAAAAACCCTAGTCGTAGCACCTCAGCTGGTTTGCACACTTAAATATCTTCTTTCTAATTATATTATTTTGTATGGACATTTTTATATTGTTTCAGGCAGATTATACTTAATGCTAAATCATCTGAGATTATTTAGGTATTTTTTATTTTATTTCACTCCTTGTAATGAATAAAAAAATTAAAATAAATTTATTTATATCCAATATTTCAATATCCAGTTTAAGGCATATTTTCTATGGAAGTATAGCTGAATTTTAACGCCCACTCACAATCTTATGCCACATTTCATAGAGCAAAAGAGTTGGAGATCTTTGTCAGCTAATAAGCTAGAGTCGCGCTCGTATATCTGCTATTATATCTGAGCTATGCCAAAATACCTTACTTTTCTTATTCACTTTTTTGGTCCAGCCTAATTTACCTGACATATTTCAGTGTCCGCTGCGCCAGCGTTTTTGTAATCTTATGCGATTTCAATTGTTTCAGGCACATCCGTTCCGGCTGTCTGTCAGGTAGAATCCATACCTTGATCTTGAGCTCTCCCTCTCCCTCTCTCTCTCTCTCTCTCTTAGCTAAAGAAGACAAATTGCTTTTAAGGTTGTTCTGTTTTATATTTTATTTCTCTTACACAATTTTGGTTGTATTGCTCCATTTTGGAAGTGCATTCAATTTTCTGTTTCTGTTTACAATTTTGTGATTTTATTGCAGGGAGTTTTCGGTATCAAAGTTTCAGGGGGATTTACTCGTAAGGCTATATCAAATATGTTTGCCTGATTTGCATTTGCTCGTGTTTATCATCAAATATATATCTATATATATTTCTTTTATTGCGTAATACACATAATTACATATTAAATAATTGCTTTGCGTTTTGTTTTGTCATTTCTTATAAATTGTATTTGAAAATAGAGCGCATTTTGCGTTTAGTAAAAATATATTTGGGTTTTTTATGTTTTTTGTTTTCTTTGTTGTGGTGTTTTTTTGTTTCTTCTACTGTGCCTTAAGTCTTAAATAGTATAAAGTATATAGTATATATATATATATAGTAATTCAAATTCTCATTTTTCTCTCATTTGCAAACTATATTTATATCATTTGTTTCATATTCCCTATTTACTTTTTTATCAAGGCAACGTATTTAGTATTTTGTATTTTAAATGTTGTATTTTGTTTTGTGTCTCGTTATTTTATTTATTAATGTTTAAATGTACAATTTTAAAACCGGCATAGTTCGTTTCATTACACGCTCTGTTAATGCTTTCTTTATATGATTTATGTTTAGTTAATTTATTTATTTATTTACTCTTTTGTTTTGTTTAACTTGTTAATAATAAATATCACAACGCATCCTTCATATACAACAAACATTCCTTGCCAAACTCAACTTCAATCCTTACTTAAAGCATTTTTACATTTCGTTCAAATGTTTTAGGCATTCTGTAAATATATACATATATGTATGTATATATATACCTATATATATATTTCTATGTATGTATATTTTTTGAAAACACACGCAAATCAAAATGGTTGAAAAAATTGCACAAAAAATACAAGTATGTATAGTATATACACATATACATGTGTATATATATATGTATGTATGTATATTCTATATGGTATATAAGTAGTTATAGATAATTGATAGCAAATCATAAATTAAACATAATAAAGATAATAATACAAAAGCAGTTATACATTTAACAGGGGAAAAATAAACAATGTAAAATATTAAATAGGGCAGCCATGCACACCCCAAGACGGGGGAGGGCGTGGCAGCCGGGCTACAATAATCATTATCGTCGTTACAAAACAAGAGAAAACATTGCGTAAAAATCTTAATTAATTAGCGTTCGTTCAATGTAAACATTAATTTATATATGTATGTATATGAACATTAACATAGCTGTTGCCACATGTGACATGTAACATGTTGCATGTTGCATGTTGCATGTTTGACTTGCTTTCGTGGCATTCAGCATTGACGCATTAAACTAAATGTAATGTTTGACTCTACTTATGATAACTTGCAGGCGCACATAAATGGTTGCCACATGTGGCACGTTGCACGCTGCACACACGCATTAAACTAAACGTAATGTTTGACTGTCGTTAGTGACGCGCGCCACCGCCACGCACCCTACACTGGTTATAAGCTAACCAGCTTGGACGGCTCACTTGTGGGCGTTGGCAGCTCCAGCGGATGCTTGTTCTGGGAGGAGCAGGTGGGCATCAACGGCCCAGAGACGGGCGTCAGTCCGGTGCCGCCATCCATCAGCGAATCGAAATTGAAGGTGCCCGTCGAGGGCGTCTGAATGGGCACGCCCTGGATCTGTGTGGGCGGCGCCTTGCCATCGCCGGCGGCAGCAGCGATGCCAAACGGACGCTGCGCATTCACATTGAGCGTGTTGGGACGCGGCTTGGGCAGCTTGTTCAGCGCATGGGCGTTCAGTGTGGGACTGCTGATGGCGCTGCTGAAGTGCGCAAAGCTGGTCGGTGCCGTGCTCGAAATGGGCGTGTTCAAGGAGGCGCCAACGGCCGGGCCCGTCGGCGTTTGCAGAGATGCATTGAATGTGGCAATGTTGGGCAGCGCAAAGCGTTTGGCCGGCGTCGGTCCGTCCTGGTCCAGCGATGAGCCCGAGTCGATGGCACCGTCCTGCGGCTCGTGCTTGATGTGCTGCAGCAGCTGCTCATCCGTGAGCATCGGCTTGAGATCCAGCGGTGAATTGCTGCGTCCGGTCGAATTGAGCGTGGCATCGAAGCCGGTGATGGTGCCGTTGCTGCTGTCATTGCTGTTGCTGTTGTTGTTGCTATTGTTGCTGTTGTGGAGGCTGACGCTGCTGGTGCTGAGCAGCGTCGTGGGCCCGATCAAGCCATTGCACGTGGTCACGGTGAGTAGATCGTCGCGCACCTTCTGGCACGTGGAGCTGTGTGCCTGGAGCACGTACTCCAACTGATTCTTGGTCGCAGTCAAACTCTCAATCTCTTTCTTCAGGTCCTCGCCCTTCTTCATCAGCGCATCGACCTCCTCGGTTAGCTCGTTGGTCTGATCGACGCGACGCTTGCGACAGCGCGCGGCCGCCAGCTTGTTGCGTTCACGCCGAATGCGGCGCTTCTCCTCCTCCTCCGGGGACATGTTGGCCGCCTTGTTGGGACGACGTCCGCCGCCGCGACGCGCCGGCGTGGCACTGTTTGAGGTAGTTGAATTGGCCGCAAGGCTCGAGCCGCGCCCACTATTGTTGACACCCGCCAGGGCAGCCTTGAAGTTGTTGACCCCGCCAGTGGAGCCGTTGCCCATCATGTGGCCGCCATTCTGGTACGAGGTGCTGTCTGTCGCGGCACTAGCTGCAATCGAAAGATAGTTAGGATTAGTCATGCTGCATATTTAGCTCCACACGGGCCACTCACAAGTATCCGTTGTGCTTTGGTCGTCGTTCAGCTGGCCCTCGTTCCACGAGCCATTGGACTCCTCCGTATCGCTGCCGGGCACACTGCCTCCACAGTTCAGGGCATGCAAATCGAATTGCGGATTCGTATTGATCGGATTCGCATTGATCCCCGGCAATGTGACGCCGCCAGCCGTTGTGGACGTGATCGTGTTGTTGTTCGTTACGTTGCCCAGAGACGTGAGCGGCGGCGGCTTGAAGCCCGCCTGGAAAGGCACATGCAAGTCCGTTGTCAGCTCATAGATCGTGTCCTCAATGGTGCGCAGCGTAGTCGGCGTCAGCGTTGGCGTTGTCAGCGTCGGGGCACTCTGCATGCCATCAAATGTAACGAGCTGCAAGAGAAAGAGGGTATTTCAATTAATACATGCCAATACTTCACTTTAGTATACAATAAGTACGAATTATAATTCCCAAGAATGCTATCGATATTTCTCAAAGATCACTGAATATACACTTCAATAAGTACAATAGATTTTTATCGATAGCAAGGTGAACTAATGCCCCATCACAAATAATCCTATTCGAAAACAAGCACACAATCAATACATATATCGATAATCGATTACACAGCAAAGGGTTCAGTGTGACCATACCACTTGTTAAGGTCACATCAATAGTGCATATAAGCAGTTACATAGGAGCTAGGATAACCCTAGCCTATTGGCACGCCCATTTCACTCAGTTCGATCATTTCTCGCTTGTTATCGAGCTATCGTACCTGCTGCATAAAAAGCTCATTAGCCAAAAAATTAGCAATTTCGCTGGCACTATCCAATGTTAATTTATCGCCATTTGTTGTTGCTACCGTCGGCAGCTGTTGTTGTTGTTGTTGATTATAATTAATATGCGCACAATTATTGCTGTATTGTTGCTGCTGTCGTTGCTGTTGTTGTTGCTGCTGCTGCTGCTGTTGTTGTTGTCGTTGCTGTTGTTGCTGCTGACTTAAAAAGCTTTGCATTTGGCACATGGCTGCCATCGCGGCTGTCGCCGTGTTGGCGTTGGCGTGGCTATTGCCGTTAGCATTCACAGCAGCAACTGTTGTTGCGTGCATATTGCTGCGCGCCATGTTGGCGTTGTTGTTGTTGTTATGACCATATGATTGCTTTGCATTTTGTTGCTGGTAGGCTGACTGCGTGGGCTGTTGCTGACGTAACAATTGCTGTTGCTGATGCTGATGCTGCTGCTGCTGTTGTTGTTGCAGCTGCTGCTGATAGTACTGTTGTTGATTGTATTGCAATTGTTGTTGCTGCAGCTGGTTGTATTGTGCAGCATAGGGCAGCTGTAGCTGTAGCTGTTGCTGTTGCAAATGTTGCTGCTGCTGTTGTTGTTGTTGCTGCTGCTGCAGCTGATGTTGCTGCTGGTGCAGTTGCTGATGCTGCAACTGTGGCTGATAGTAGGGCTGGTAGCACGCATTATGCGCTCTACCATTGAGATTTTTCATCATAACGCGCGTGGCTTATAGACTAGAGGGTTTCGCTTAGTAAATATTAAGTATACGTATCAGATATTACGCATACGCACAGTTAACTAACTATTGATTGGCTTTTTAGTTTTCTTTTTCTTTTGTGACTAGCTTGTGTAAATTCGTATTGGCTTCTGGTCGTTTAACAATATAAGTGAACAACAAACAATATGTGTATAAATAAACAATATTAATTTAAAAAAAAAAACTAACAGCAGCTGTTGCTGGCAAATTTTCTGTGTGTTAAATTAAATATTTACAGCGAACTTTTCTTGGAAAAGCTTTAAATTGTAATAATGTTGTCGTTGTTGTTGTTGTTGTTGTAGTCGTTGCTCTTGAGTTGTTGGGCGCCAAAAGATATATATATATATATATATATACATATATCTATCATATATATATATAGTTCGTTCGTTTCGCGTTTTGGCTTTTGCGTTTGCCTTTCGTTTAGTTATTTTTTCGTTCGTTTTGGACTTTAAATTCGTCGTTGTTATTGTTGTTGTTGTTGCTGTTGCTGCTGCTATCTTAGCCACTTTCCGGCGGCTTGAGACGCGCCACCAGCAGCGTTTGCCAATTTCGCAAGGGTTCGAAATTTAAGTTCAACTCGGCCAATGCAAACATAATAAATTTAATTATCAAACTACAAATAGCACGTGTTGACAACGTTTTTTTGTTTTTCTTTCTTCTTTCAAACAGTAATTACAAAAAAATTAAAAATAATAATAAACAATTATAATTAATAACAGTTTACAAAAGAAAAACTGCTCTTAATTGCAGCCAAATTGCGCGTGTTATATAATTGTGTTGTTGTTGTTGTTGTTGCTGTTGTACATACATAAAGAGCTTCATGTGTATGTATATATATATATGTACTCGTATGTATCTATATTTATATATCTATGTACTATACACTAGGTACATCTGTGAAATTATTCTATATGTATTTCGATTATGTTTTGCACACTTCTTTGCATGTGCCACGCCTCTATATGAACTTTATCGTGTACATATATATGTATATATATAGTAGTATATACATATGCGGCATGCAGCGCAAAGAATTTGTTGTTTTCCTTTTCCTTTAGCTTTTGCTTTCCTTGTTTCTCTTCCTATTCCTATTCTTAATTTCCATTCGTTGTTTCAAATTCGTTTTGGCAATTGCACGCGCTGCGAAAAACACACCAAATTTTTTTCAATTTCTTTTATTTTTGCAATTTCGTTTTTCTTTTGTTGCTTTTCGAAATTTATTTTCGTAGTTGTATTTCATTTATTTTATTTTTTTTGTTCGTTCGAGGGGCAGCGCGCGCGCGCGATCGCAGCAAAAGTTTTTCCTTTTGCGTTTGAAATTCAAAAAGAATTCTCAACTTCGATGGTTCGTTGTTCGTTTGCGACTGAGCGAAAGAAATTGAAATTGGCAGAAACGATTCTTTGAGATTTGGATACAGATGCAAAGAGAGAGTGTGACTGTATGTGTGTGACTGTATGTGTGTGCGTGTGTGTGAGCGTTGCTATTCTCTCGAGTGAGTAAATTAGACGACAACAACAACAGCAATAATAGCGTTTAGCTGCTAAGCAAATCGAATAAATTTCAAATGTGCCTGCTCTTAATTGAGGCAGCAACCCACACGACCAACAACAACAACAGCAACAACAGCAACAGCAGCAGCAGCAACAGCAAGAAGAAGCAGCAACAGCAAGCAAACAGCCCACGCCAACAACAGAGCAACAGTTGCTGCCATAAGTTTTGCTATAAACACTTCCACAACTAATTTGATTTCCCATCAATTTTAAGGATCTGAACAAGCATTCAAGTGAAAGCTATAAGCGATATGTATGTGAAATATGTTGTAGCGCTCAAGCAGCAACAGTTGCTGGCATTACTTATGCTATAAACTTTGGTGACTCTTAAACATTCTTAAATTAAATTAAATTATTAAAAATTCGACTTGTACAATTTTAGTATTTTTATGATATACTACAAAAGATACTAAACTGAGTTAACATGGGTTTTATATTGAGTCTCCACACTTCTCCAAATTAGAGCAGGTTTATGGCAACTCTAATTGCGTGCGGGGCCACCCTAGGGCATTTGACTTAAACGCTTCGAGCTGCCATTAATAAACAGCTAATATAACTCAATACGCCTCCTTCGGGCTGTCAGCCGGCAGCATTTAGCAAGAGTTATGACAGCCTCTCGACTACAGAGCGAGTGTGTGCGTGTGTGTGTGTGTGTGTGCGTCTGTTTGTTTTCTTTCGTATTTATAGCAATCAGCGCTGTCACAGTTCCCAGATGAAATCAAAGAAACGGAACACAAGCCAGATGCAAATGCGTGTGCCGTCGTCAGATTGGCTGAGAGCAGGTGTCTTGTCAGCCCCAATGAACAATAACAATTATTGTACTTTCAGATATGTCTATGAATAAATAGTGACCAGTGGTTCTCTCTCTCTATCTCTCTCTCTCTCTCTCTCTCTCTCTCTTTCTGGCAAATTGACAACTTCTAGTGTTTTCCAACACTGAAAGCAGCTCATTTCACGTGCTTATTTGATGTGCTTCATTACACATTTTGTATAATAAATTTTGCATCATAAATATTATCGTGGGGCATTGATCCTTTGACTTATCTCTCGGCATTTCCTTCAACTCGTTTATTTGCGAGCCAACAATAAAATTTATTCATTGTGTTTTTGTTGACTTGGGGTTTTATTTTTTATTTTTGAAGTAAACCGCTTGTTTTTGTTTGCATAAATGTTTAAACATTTGCGACTTTCGTTTTAACCCACTTTCCCAAAGTGACAAAGATTTTGTTTTTATTTTTTTTTTTCATTTTGGGATATTGCATAAAAAGCAAACAGAAATAAATTGAAAATTTAATGAGCGCAAATGTTGTCTGCTTTATTTTCCTTCGTTTTTTTTATTTTTCACTTTTCGCAGAACCCATTTGCAGATGAATCAGCCAATTTACTTGAATTAAAAATATATAATAATAACAATAATATACATAGTATGGAGCTCTCGCCGTAATCGTAATTGTCTAAATTGAAACGAGCTTGTTCGACGCAGCGAACAACTATTCTTATCAGGGCGACGGTGCCGAAGTTCAGGTCGGTGGGGTCAATTGAGCGAGAGGCGAGTGGAAATAAAACCACACGCTGACGTCGAAAAATACCCTCGAATATGTGCAGAAAGTTGGGTGTATTAGTGGTGCAGACAAAGGGAGAGCATAATTAGAGATAGAGAGAGAGAGAGAGAGAGGGATAGCAAGAGAATGATATTGATAGAGTGTGGAAGCATGGACTAATTGAATAATTAGCTAATGGAATACCCAACGACAAGACTGTGGAGTCTTAAGAGAAGTTAAGCATGTTGCGCATAATTTGACTTCAACTTGAACTCAATTAGCTTTACGAACTATATATACTACCTCCCAGATGATCTCTTAATCTACAGGGTATTTCTTAGCCCCACCGTGTGCTAGACTCGTCAATATACGCGCATTCGATTCGCTGACTAATGCGACGATTGACGAAGTTGAATACTACAAAATTTGATTACATGGGCGCGCTTGATAAGCGAATGTAAGTCAACTAAACGCAGACTGAGTAGCTACAGTAATTGCTGGCTAATGCAAACACTCTGAGTGCAGACAATAATTAAACCAACATTTAGCAATTTAATAATATATTATTCAACAATTGACAATATGATTTATATTGTTGAGTTCTCGGGCGAAAGTTGAAGTGCCCTTGAAATTAATTAGTTCACTTGAAATGAATTCGCACTGTGCTTGTGTTTATATTTGACAAATACGCGGCGAATTGAGGGCTTAAGAAGGCGAAGAAGGCGAACAGCAAAAGAAAACGACGGCATCGCTTTTTAGTTGTTGTTGCTGCTGCTGCTGTTGTTATTGTTGTTGTTATTGTTGTTGTTGCTTTGTATAGCTGACGTGTTGAGTTATTTTTAAGCCAATTTTAGCCAGACAATGACGCAATAAAGCAAAATACAAACAACTTGGCCGCGATGACAATTTCATTTGTTTATATCAAAAGCGAACGAAACGAAGATGTTAAATGTTAAGCTTAACAGACTGTTAGGCAGCACTGTTAAGGGCAGCTGTTAGCGGGCATAGAAATGGAAAGAGATTTTACGAGATAGTTTTAATTGATTGATAATAATTATAAAAAATTATAAAAATAAATTAAATAAATAACACATATAAACAGAATTTTTTTTATGTTTTCCTTCTTATAAAATTTACCTAAATATTTTATATATTATTCTAAGGCATCTTCTAGTCGTAACTGTAGACCAACTGTAGCTGAGCTCACTTTGGCTTTGTGGCAATGCTCATTTTAGCCAGGTTTGTTTGTTTCTCACTTTTTTTTTTTAAATGTCTATCATTTATTTCTATGTGCAATTGCATAAATTAAGCTGAAATTGTGTATAGATGCATTTAGATATTGCCAATTGCCCGATGAAGGTTGCAACAAAAGCTCGCCGACTTATTAGAAATGCGCATTACTTAAAAGCAAATAGCAAAATTTTTTGATTTCTAATTGGCAAAAAAAAAATATATATATATATATATTTATATAAAAGAGAGTTGCCAGCAATAACGACGACAAACGCTCAAGTGCATTGCATTTATTTATTATTTGTATTATTTTTGTATCGTGACTGCAGTCAGAGTTGTGACAATGCCAGCGCCAGAGTTGACAAGTTCAAGTGCGCTGTCAGTAGGCCAGAGTTGCCAGCTGCATGAGTGAGTGTGAGATTGGCTGCGAGTGCCCGCATGTGTGTCGGTGTGAGTGCCCGCATGTGTGTGTGTGTGTACAGTTTTGCACTTCCCATTGCGATAAGCGCATACATAATTGAAATTAATATTATTATATATATATTTTTTTTCTTTGCATAAGCACATTTTCTGCGAATAAAACAATTAATGCAAAAGAGGGAGAAACGCAAAAATAAATACAATTTTTTATTGTATTCTCTTATTTTTGAATATTTAATACACGCTCATGAAGCAAAATGTGCGAGTATATTGGATACTTTTTGGCTATGCTTGCCTATTCAGGTAAAGAAGTTGAGATTTGCCTTGGCTAAAGCAAAGTTAATGCGGGTACGCATGCATGTGACTAGCTGATGCCCTACCTTGAAGATTAACTAGATTTCTATATAAGTTCTATATAGATTATTAGAGTATGGCAATATGAGAGAATTTGTAAATTTCACAGAAATAAAATTAGATTTTTACAATTTGATTTTCTTGCATGATGAAGTGGAATTTTTCCTTGGGCTTCTTATCGCTACTGAGCGAGTATTACGCCGTCGACTATTGCCGAGTGCACTTTACGTATTTGTACATCTTTGCTTTGTACTTTTTGCGTTTCGTTTGGAAAGGAGAACGTGACCGCAATGCCGTAGTGAAATTGTCTGGAGTGGTTTCGCGCTGAGTGCCAGCTCTTTTTGATAAAGCCAAGCTTTAGGTCTGTCTCAGAGCCGATTCGCAGTCCGCTCCCAGTCCCGCTCCAGCTCCCGGTCGCGCTTCCGCGCCCAGTCGAAGTCAACGCCCGGCCGGTTGCCTTCATCATTATTTTGTTTTTTTTTTTTTTCGTGCCAGCCTTTTTCGGGCACGCAAACGCCGCTTGACCATATGCCCAGATGCCATATACTATATAAATATATATGTATATGTGT